CTGCTTTCAGCCAGCAACCCTGAGCCAGGACTTCTTTCTAGGCTCCTCCCAGGATGTCAGGACTAAGGCCCTGCAGCTGGGGTGGCTCAGTCTCCTGACAGCCTAATGAGCTGCATCCGCTAGACAGCCTGACAGCGGGCCCCATCTGACTGGCGGAGGAAGCTAGCAGGCTGTGCTCTTGAACCCAGCAGCTGTTCACACTAGCGATTGCCCAGTGCTGGTGCTGTCTCCTGTGCCTGTTTGTTCCCAGCCCCGCCCCTGCCTCACACCCAGCTCTGCTTTGCGGGTAACCTGGTCCTGACCGTCGGCTCCAATTTCTGACTTCACTCTGACATCTGGCCTCTGACTCCAGTTCTGACCTTGGGTTCCTCTTCCTGCCCATTGACTCCTGTTCCAACCACTAGGCACATCCGCCCATGTCCTGGTCTCTGACACAGGGCCACCCCGTTCTTACTGCTGCTGCTTCGCTTCCTTTCTCCGCTTCTTCTTCGAGTGATGGTCCCTATTGTAGTCCACTGGAGGGGTATGAGCCACGTGCCCAGAGCCGGAGCTGTTCAAAGTAGTCGTGTCCGTTGGTCTGCGCATGCGCCCTTTTACTGCTTCATGGTTTCGACCGAGGGATGGGGCCAACTGGCCGCGCCTTCAGTTCCTTCTCACTGCCACATGGTCCGAGTCGGAGCTTCTGCCGTTCTCTCGTCCCTTGTGACGCACTTTCCAAACATAGCAAAAAAGACTGTTTTATTCTTGCTCCTAGTTAGCATCTGTCAGGGTTCCCTCCCCACTCTGAACTCTAGGGTACAGATGTGGGGACCCGCAAGAAAGACCTCCTAAGCTTATTTCTACCAGCTTAGGTTAAAAACTTTCCCAAGGCACAAATTCTTCCTTGTCCTTGGCCGGGATTGCTGCCAACACCAAGTGAGTTAGACAAAGATTCAGGAAAAGGAGCACTTGGAGTTCCTGTTTCCCCAAAATATCCCCCCAAGCCGCTTCACCCCCCTTTCCTGGGGAGGCTTGAGAATCATATACCAACCAAATAGGTAAACAAGGTGAGCACAGACACACTTGGGTTTTTACACCAATCAGGTTTTTAAAAACAGAACTTTATTATAAAGAAAAAGTAAAAGAAGCACCTCTGTAAATCCATGCTGACTGTTCCTGATCACTTTCCTCTTGTGTAAGTGCTTCAGGATTGATTCCTTGAGGACCTGCTCCATGATTTTTCCGGGGACTGAGGTGAGGCTGACTGGCCTGTAGTTCCCAGGATCCTCCTTCTTCCCTTTTTTAAAGATTGGCACTACATTAGCCTTTTTTCAGTCATCTGGGACTTCACCCGTTCGCCACGAGTTTTCAAAGATAATGGCCAATGGCTCTGCAATCACATCCGCCAACTCCTTTAGCACTCTCGGATGCAGCGCATCCGGCTCCATGGATTTGTGCATGTCCAGCTTTTCTAAATAGAGCCAAACCACTTCTTTCTCCACAGAGGGCTGGTCACCTCCTCCCCATGCTGTGCTGCCCAGTGCAGTAGTCTGGGAGCTGACCTTGTTCGTGAAGACAGAGGCAAAAAAAGCATTGAGTACATTAGCTTTTTCAACATCCTCTCTCACTAGGTTGCCTCCCTCATTCAGTAAGGGACCCACACTTTCCTTGACTTTCTTCTTGTTGCTAACATACCTGAAGAAACCCTTCTTGTTACTCTTAACATCTCTTGCTAGCTGCAACTCCAGGTGTGATTTGGCCTTCCTGATATTACTCCTGCATGCCCGAGCAATATTTTTATACTCATCCCTGGTCATTTGTCCAACCTTCCACTTCTTGTAAGCTTCTTTTTTGTATTTAAGATCAGCAAGGACTTCACTGTTAAGCCAAGCTGGTCACCTGCCATATTTACTAGTCTTTCTACACATGGGGATGGTTTGTCCCTGTAACCTCAATAAGGATTCTTTAAAATACAGCCAGCTCTCCTGGACTCCTTTCCCCCTCATGTTATTCTCCCAGGGGATCTTGCCCATCAGTTCCCTGAGGGAGTCAAAGTCTGCTTTTCTGAAGTCCACGGTCCGTATTCTGCTGCTTTCCTTTCTTCCTTGTGTCAGGATCCTGAACTCGACCATCTCATAGAATCATAGAATCAGAGAATATCAGGGTTGGAAGGGACCTCAGGAGGTAATCTAGTCCAACCCCCTGCTCAAAGCAGGACCAATCCCCAATTAAATCATCCCAGCCAGGGCTTTGTCAAGCCTGACCTTAAAAACTTCTAAGGAAGGAGATTCTACCACCTCCCTAGGTAACGCATTCCAGTGTTTCACCACCCTCCTAGTGAAGAAGTTTTTCCTAATATCCAACCCCCACTGCAACTTTAGACCATTACTCCTTGTCCTGTCCTCTTCTACCACTGAGAATAGTCTAGAACCATCCTCTTTGGAACCACCTCTCAGGTAGTTGAAAGCAGCTATCAAATCCCCCCTTATTCTTCTCTTCTGCAGACAAAACAATCCCAGTTCCCTCAGCCTCTCCTCATAAGTCATGTGTTCCAGACCCCTAATCATTTTTGTTGCCCTTAGCTGGACTCTCTCCAATTTATCCACATCCTTCTTGTAGTGTGGGGCCCAAAACTGGACACAGTACTCCAGATGAGGCCTCACCAATGTCGAACAGAGGGGAACGATCACATCCCTCGATCTGCTGGCTATGCCCCTACTTATACAACCCAAAATGCCATTGGCTTTCTTGGCAACAAGGGCACACTGCTGACTCATATCCAGCTTCTCGTCCACTGTCACCCCTAGGTCCTTTTCCGCAGGACTGCTGCCTAGCCATTCGGTCCCTAGTCTGTAATGGTGCATTGGGTTTTTCCGTCCTAAGTGCAGGACCCTGCACTTATCCTTATTGAACCTCATCAGATTTCTTTTGGCCCAATCCTCCAATTTGTCTAGGTCCCTCTGTATCCTATCCCTGCCCTCCAGAGTATCTACCACTCCTCCTAGTTTAGCAAATTTGCTGAGAGTGCAATCCACACCATCCTCCAGATCATTTATGAAGATATTGAACAAAACTGGCCCCAGGACTGACCCTTGGAGCACTCCACTTGATACCGGCTGCCAACTAGACATGGAGCCATTGATCACTACCCGTTGAGCCCGACAATCTAGCCAACTTTCAACCCACCTTATAGTGCATTCATCCAGCCCATATTTTAACTTGCTGACAAGAATACTGTGGGAGACCGTGTCAAAAGCTTTGCTAAAGTCAAGAAACAATACATCCACTGCTTCCCCTTCATCCACAGAACCAGTAATCTCATCATAGAAGGCGATTAGATTAGTCAGGCATGACCTTCCCTTGGTTAATCCATGCTGACTGTTCCTGATCACTTTCCTCTCGTGTTAGTGCTTCAGGATTGATTCCTTGAGGACCTGCTCCATGATTTTTCCGAGGACTGAGGTAAGGCTGACTGGCCTGTAGTTCCCAGGATCCTCCTTCTTCCCTTTTTTAAAGATTGGCACTACATTACCCTTTTTCCAGTCATCTGGGACTTCCCCCGTTCGCCACGAGTTTTCAAAGATAATGGCCAATGGCTCTGCAATCACAGCTGCCAATTCCTTTAGCACTCTCGGGTGCAACGCGTCCGGCCCCATAGACTTGTGCACATCCAGCATTTCTAAATAGTCCCTAACCACCTCTTTCTCCACAGAGGGCTGGCCACCTACTCCTCATGCTGTGATGCCCAGCGCAGCAGTCTGGGAGCTGACCTTGTTCGTGAAGACAGAGGCAAAAAAAGCATTGAGTACATTAGCTTTTTCAACATCCTCTCTCACTAGGTTGCCTTCCTCATTCAGTAAGGGGCCCACACTCTCCTTGGCTTTCTTCTTGTTGCCAACATACCTGAAGAAACCCTTCTTGTTACTCTTAATATCTCTTGCTAGCTGCAACTCCAGGTGTGATTTGGCCTTCCTGATTTCATTCCTACATGCCCGAGCAATAATATTATACTCTTCCCTGGTCAGTTGTCCTATCTTCCACTTCTTGTAAGCTTCTTTTTTATGTTTAAGATCCGCAAGGATTTCACCATTAAGCCAAGCTGGTCGCCTGCCATGTTTACTATTCTTTCTACACATGGGGATGGTTCGTCCCTGTAACCTCAATAGGGATTCCTTGAAATACAGCCAGCTCTCCTGGACTCCTTTCCCCTTCATGTTAGTCCCCCAGGGGATCCTGCCCATCAGTTTCCTGAGGGAGTCGAAGTCTGCTTTCCTGAAGTCTAGGGTCTGTATTCTGCTGCTTACCTTTCTTCCCTGTGTCAGGATCCTGAACTCAACCAACTCATGGTCACTGCCTCCCAGATTCCCATCCACTTTTGCTTCCCCCACTAATTCTTCCCGGTTTGTGAGCAGCAGGTCAAGAAAAGCTCCCCCCCAGTTGGTTCCTCTAGCACTTGCACCAGGAAATTGTTCCCTACATTTTCCAAAATCTTCCTGGATTGATGCTATTGTGTGTTGTTTTTTAACCAGTGTGTCTTCCCAATTTCTGTCCTCCCCATCCAAATTGCTCTCCTTAGTTAAAAGTATGCTGGGGGGGAACTCATCCCAGTGGTATGATCCATGTGCACACTTCTCTTTAAGAGCTGAATTTTCCACTGCCGGGCTTCTGCTTTCTCTCTTTTCCACCTGTGCAGCCACTCTACCCTCCCCTAATGGCAAAGAAAGGAATTGCAGGATGGTGGCTATTGTGGGGTGGCTATTGCTCAGGTCCCAGGGAGATTTCCTTGTGCCTTCACTCTCCCATGTTGTCCAGTTTCCTGCCTGAAGACAACTAGTACATTTGCCCACCACAATAAAGTGAGCAGCTGCAGGGCTTACTCCACTGGCCTCCATTTGGAGAGAGGGTTAAACCAGGCTGCTGGAGCCAGAAGGAACACAGAGGAAGGTCAGAGGAGCGGGATTTCCTGTGATGAATCACAGCTGTGCAGAGGACTGATACAAAAGTTCCTGCATCCATTTGTGTCCTCATTATTCCACCGTGAGCAAAGCGAGAGAGCCCAACCCGAGGGGAGTCTCTGCTAGCCAGCGGGTCTGTTGAGATTTGCCTGCTGACCCCCATCCTCACCAGAGATGGAGCCCAGGACATCCCTCTACCTCGTGCTCATCTTCATTGCCTGGGGTGAGTTGGGTTATCCTTCCCTGCTGCTAACCCCCAGCCCAACCACAGTGTTCTCTAGGCACCACCACCTGACCGAGACAGCCTCATGGAGTCCATGGGGAGCCCTGGTCCTGGTAGAGAGATGTCTTCACTACGCACCCCTTCTGCCGGCTCAGCACCCACTGCTTCCCCTTGCTGGATTTTGGCAAAGAGTCCAAGGACTGAGAGGTCCATGGGGTCTGAACACTTCACTCACCCCAGGCTTGAGAGCTGGAAGGTGAAGCAGAGGGCATCTGGCTCCCTGTCTTCTCCTCTTCCTCCCACCTCTCACCCTAACCTTGAAGCTTCGTTTGTCTCCCCATCCCACTTGTGCTCTTTTCCATGCACCTCTGCCTGGAATGACCTCCCTCTTCCTATGCACCCAGAGTTTCCCCTGTCCAACAAAGTCATCCTGACTCCATGCTTGGGAGGAACTCCCTGTAAACATGCACAAAACTGCCTCCTTGTCCTCCTTCAAAATTCTCCCCTGCCATGACAGCTACAAAAACTTGGCATCAGTTATGCCACTGGCGTGCTGAGACCCCTGCCCAACCTGCTGACCAATATGGTCGCATTATTTCCTTGCACTCCTCCATACAGCTGCAACCAGCTCTTGGCCTAGTTTGTAAGCTTTTGGGGGAGGCTGTCTGCTGCTTCTTTGTACAGTGCCTAGTGCAACGGGGTCTTGGTCCATGAAGAGGGCTCCGAGCCGCTCCCGTAATATAATTAATCATAATAATAAAAGTATCAGCGGGATTAATCTGCCACAGAGTCAGGGCTGGCACAGGTTCAGCGCCCCCTTCTGGAGCAAAAGGGGGAAGCAGTGTGCCGACTGATTCAGGTCCCACTCTGCTCGCTGGGCAGCCCAGCTCTTCACTGCCACAAGTTAGCTCTAAATAACGTGGTTCATATTATTTTAATTTCCTTCCACCCAAAACTCTTCTCCGTTCCCTTCTTCCTCGGGTCATGATGGATTCTCCATCACTGGCCATTTCAAAATCAAGATTGGATGCTTCCCGAGAGATCTGCTGTAGGAATTATTTCAGGGCAATTCTCTGACTTGTATTATCTAGGCAGTAACTCTAGCTATCACTATGGTTTCTTCTGGCCTTGGCAGCTATGAATCTTGTCTGTCACCACCTTTTATGTTTGTTCCATGTAGTTTTTAAGCAAGGGACCCCTTCTTTTTCATTCACTGTAAAGCACCAAGCAAAATGCTGCTGCTGTATTAATAATTATTGTGTATGAAAAACTACTATTGATAAATGAAGCAATCGGTGAAAATCATTAACAATTATAGCAACCCCTAGCTCACTCTTCTCCCTGCATGAGGGTAATGATACTGCTATGGTGGTGCCACCAGATGGTGCTGTTACACACAATCTTAGCATGTGAGCCAGAGTACAGTCTTGGCAGACATAGTCTTTTTAGTTTTGTAATGCAGTTTATTTTTGGTGGGCAACTGTTGCAAAGGGAAGGAGGGTTTGTTGCTCCCTGGGAACCTGGCACTGATGCGTGGACTGAGATCCCTGACAGAGGGGCTTGGATGTGTGCTGTTTGTGACCACCTCTGTTCCAGGACTGCTGGTGCATAAATGTAAATAAACAAGGTGCACTAAGAAACTACTCAGACTCCGTATCACTGATTTCTCCTGCAATGAGCAATTGGTGTAGTATTTACCTGCCTTTGGGACCAATGCGTGAAATATGCTGCACTAATGTTTTATTCTCTCTTGCATGCTTATTGCACTTGTGGTTCCCAATCTTGACACTAGGTGCCTGCTCCCAGGAGAATTGTCTCTGCACCCGTGGCTTTTGTGCTGAAGGCTGGGTGCAGTATCAAGATGCCTGCTATAACGCTGTGATGAAACCGACGAAGTGGCCCGAAGCTGAGGCAAGTCTGAATACAGGGAGGCAGCAAGGCCTAGTGGAAAGAGCCCCAGCCTGGAACATAGGAGAGCTGGATTCTATTCCCAGCACTGGTTTGCTGGGTGACCTAGGGCAAGTCACTCTCCTCTCTGTGCCTCAGTTTCCCAGTCTGTAAAATGTAAAGATACTGACTTCCTTTGTAAAGTGCTTTGAGATCTTTTAACAGTGCATGGACTCTGCTCCTATCTTTTTCTGAGCGCACAAAGCACTTGGAGATGCTCTGCTTGGGAACACTACGTGTACAGCAGATTTACAGCAGTGATCACCAACCCATCGATTATGATCGACTGGTCGATCCTGGAGCCTCTGCCAGTTGATCGCAATCTCTGGGCCGTTAAAAGTCCCATGGCACAGCGGGGCTCAGGCAAGCTGCCTGTCTTCTGTGGCCCCAAACTGCTTCCAGTAGCTGCTGGCTGCTGGCACGTGTCCGTGGCCCCTGGGGAGCAGGGGAAAGCAGCTCCGGAAACTGGCCAATGGGAGTGGCGGGGGTGGTGCTTGTGGTCAGGGGCAATGCACAGAGATCCGCTGCCCTCCTCCCCCCAAGGGGCACGCAGAGATGTGCCAGCAGCCACCCGCTTCTGGGAATGGTGTGGTGCCATGGCAGGCAGGCAGCCTGCCTGAGCCCTGCTGCGCCACCTACCAGGAGCCACCTGTGGTAAGTGCCTCCTGGATGGAGCCTGTACCTTGTACCCCCTCCTGCATCCCAAACCCCTGCCCCAGGCTGGAGCCCCTCTTGCACCCAACCTCCCTCCCAGAGCCCACACCCCTCATCCTCTCCTGCACCCCAATCCTCTGCACCAGCCCAGAGCCCCCTCCTGCACCAAACTCCCTCCCACCACCCTCACCCCTCAACCCCTCATTCACCCCAACACTCTGCCCCAGCCTGGAGCCCACTCCTGCATGCTATCTCGCGTCCAGAGATTGCACAGAATCATAGAATCATAGAATATCAGGGTTGGAAGGGACCCCAGAAGGTCATCTAGTCCAACCCCCTGCTCAAAGCAGGACCAATTCCCAGTTAAATCATCCCAGCCAGGGCTTTGTCAAGCCTGACCTTAAAAACCTCTAAGGAAGGAGATTCTACCACCTCCCTAGGTAACGCATTCCAGTGTTTCACCACCCTCTTAGTGAAAAAGTTTTTCCTAATATCCAATCTAAACCTCCCCCACTGCAACTTGAGACCATTACTCCTTGTTCTGTCATCTGCTACCATTGAGAACAGTCTAGAGCCATCCTCTTTGGAACCCCCTTTCAGGTAGTTGAAAGCAGCTATCAAATCCCCCCTCATTCTTCTCTTCTGCAGGCTAAACAATCCCAGCTCCCTCAGCCTCTCCTCATAACTCATGTGTTCCAGACCCCTAATCATTTTTGTTGCCCTTCGCTGGACTCTCTCCAATTTATCCACATCCTTCTTGAAGTGTGGGGCCCAAAACTGGACACAGTACTCCAGATGAGGCCTCACCAATGTCGAATAGAGGGGAACAATCACGTCCCTCGATCTGCTCGCTATGCCCCTACTTATACATCCCAAAATGCCATTGGCCTTCTTGGCAACAAGGGCACACTGCTGACTCATATCCAGCTTCTCGTCCACTGTCACCCCTAGGTCCTTTTCCGCAGAACTGCTGCCTAGCCATTCGGTCCCTAGTCTGTAGCTGTGCATTGGGTTCTTCCGTCCTAAGTGCAGGACCCTGCACTTGTCCTTATTGAACCTCATCAGATTTCTTTTGGCCCAATCCTCCAATTTGTCTAGGTCCTTCTGTATCCTATCCCTCCCCTCCAGCGTATCTACCACTCCTCCCAGTTTAGTATCAAGCTCCCAGTTTAGTATCATCCCTCACTCCTGCACCCAACCCCTGCCCCAGGCTCAACCAATGCACACCCCACAGTTGAGAATGTTACACAGAATTGTGTCAATCCCTGAAGGATTTTGGATCCATAAACCACAAATGACACTAATAAAAAGTAAAACTCATGTCCAGTGGATTCTATGAGATTTGGTGCAGTGTGACCATATGACCCCTGCACCCAAACTCCCTCCCAGAGCTTGCACCCCTCACTCTTGCACCCCAACCCCCTGCCCCAGGCTCAGCTTGGAGCCCCCTCCCACACTCAGAACCCCTCAGCTCCAGTCCAGAGTCTGCACCCCCTCCTGCACTGCACCCTCACTCCCTGCCCCAGCCTGGTGAAAGTGAGTGAGGGTTGGGGAGAGCAAGCAACAGAGTGAGGAGGGGATGGAGTGAGCAGGATGGGGCCTCGGGGAAGGGGTGGGGCCTTGGGGAAGGGGTGGGGTAAATACTGGGTTGATCTTAAATTCAAAAAGGGATCTAGTGTGTAAAAAGGTTGGAGACCACTGATTTACAGGGTTCCCTCATCACCTTTTCAGCAGAGTGCAGCACCTTATCTGCACTAGCTCATAATCCTCAGCCCCTTAGAGCAAGGACTGGAGAGGGAGGAGCGCTCTCCCTCAGAGACCTTGCCTGGGACTAATGCTGAGGGTATGTCTACACTGCGATTAAAAACCCCACTGCACAGTGTCTGAGCCCAGGTCAGCAGACTCGGGCTTGCAAGACAACAAATAGCTTTGGAGCTATTCAGGCTTGAGCTGGAGCCCAGCTCTGAAACCTTCCCCCTTCGCAGAGTTTCAGAGCTGGACTGATGATGGAGCCTGATCGTCTACACTGCAATTTAAAGCTCCGTAGCCCGAGCCTCAGGATCCCAAGTCAGCTGACCTGGGCCAGCCATGGCCACGCTGTAGGTCTTTTGATTGCAGTGCAGACACTCTCCCCTGGCACTTCCTTCCTGGGCCTTTTCTACTTTCTGGGCAAATGGACTCATTAGCCCTGTCTGTCCGCAGCCCATCTCTGATCTGTCAATTAGGCACAGCTCTGCCCCTCCGGTTTACTCTGGGGCTAGTTAATTGGTGCTCTGGTGGTCAGAGGGCTGGTGCAGTTGCTGTCGCCCAGCGCTCTGGCCCAGATCGGTGGATGAGAAGCATTTTACAAGCGCTAGGGAGTGTTAACAGCTGGGCTTCTTTGCTGAGCGGGGAGAGAGAGAGGGGACAGGAAATGCTCTTGAGGGCACGTTACTAAGGGCTGGATTCTGGCCAGCCCCGGGTGGTGCTGTATGTGGTTCCCTTGAGATCAGTGGCACTGTTGGTGGAGTGGGCTCCTATGCAGCGTCTGTTCAAAGGGGTCCACTGACGTCTCTCTTTAAATCCTGAGCCATGTGAGTGAATCTATCCCTTAAGCAGCTGGTGTGACCCCTGCTAGGGGGAATCTTGGAATCCCTCCTCCGCCACATGAACAAGTCTGAGGGAATTTCCCAGCCTTCCAGATGGCCTCTGCTCACCTCCTCTAAACATTCCTCCAATGGCCATTATTCCCTTCCCACCAAGATCTCTGTATCCATAAGCTTATACTCCGCTCGAGGGCATTTCTCCGTGGGTCTGTCTGTCTGCAACGTGATAACACTTGAAGGCCGCATGCCATCTGTCCCAAAACGTCAGGGAACTGTCCAGGCATCGATGCCCAGAGTTCTAGTGATCTGGGGGGAAATCAGAAAAAAACAAGAAAGGGGGAAATGGAGGACACAGGGCCAGTCTTTGCCATCTGGTTAGCAGAGCAGGTAGCTGCCACCACCACCTCTTGAATTGTTGGTGGATGGCAGCCATTAACACCTTCCGGCATCACACAGCTCCTGATCTTAGCTCTGCCTGTCCTCCCCACAGACTTTTCAAATGTTGACACTCTGAGCCTGTGCCTACACCAAGAGTGGTGGAAACCTCTAAAAGGGGGGGGGGGCATAGGTGCCCAAACCATGGCCCCGCCCCCCACACTGCCCCTTCCTCAGAGACCCTGCTCCTGTGCTAGCCCTTCCCCCACTAGGCCACGCCTCCACATGGCTTCTTCCCTCACTTTTAAAAGTGGGGGGCATGTCCCCTTGCCCCCCTCCCCCCCATTCTGGCACCCCAGTCTTCACTCAAAATGCTATAATGGCACAACTGCAGCTGTGCTGCAGTAGCATAGACACTTACTACCGCCGTGGGAGGGGTGCTTTTGTCCCTGTAGCAAATGGACAAGTCCCCTCCCTGTGGCGGAAACCAAGGTCTGAGAAGCTACAAGACTTGCCCAAGGCCACCTGGTGAGTCTGTGGCAGAACTGGGAATTCAGCCCATCTCTCTTCATGGCTAGCCCACTGCCTCAACGAGAAGACCACTCTCCTTCTCTAGGGCCCTGACCCACTGATGTTCACAGGCCCTTTTTCATTGATTTCTCAGTGTTTTGGGTCAGGTGTGCAGGTTGCAGCCTTGTGTGAGCTGTCCTTGCGGTGCCTTTTCAGGTGGCATGTCAAAGCCTTGGCAGGAACTCCCATCTGGCCTCCATCCACAGCGCAGAGGAAAATGATTTCATCTTTCACCTGATGGGCAAGCCGCTGGATTACACTAAAGGGCAGGCCTACTGGATCGGCGCACACGACACTTTCAAGGTAGCTCCCGCCTCACCCGTCTGGCACAACCCATGATCAGAGCAACTGCAACTTCAGAGCAATTGCCAGGGACGGAGAGTCAGACTGGCCTTTCCACTTATACCCAGGGACATCCATGGGGTTGAGAGAAGAATTTGGCTTCCTGTGTCTAAAGTTGTGGGCTTGTTATTTCAATCTGAAGCCAGGTCGGTGCTGCTCACTCTGCCAGCCCAACAGACAGAAGGATGGCCCAGCGCTTAGGGCAGTGCAAGGGGACTTGAGAGTCCTGGGTTCAGTTCCTGGGTCTGCCACTGTGTCTCTGTGTGACCTTGGTGCAGTCACTTAATCTACCCTGTGCTGAGTTCCCCTATCTGTAACATGGGGAGGACCCTTCCCCACTCCCCGGGATGGTGTGAGGCTGACTCTGTCTGTGCTGGAGTGGGCTGCAGTGAGGAAAGACATGGGGACACCTAGAGAAGGGACCTCCATAGCTGGGATATTAGGGGCAGCTGAGGTGCTAGAGAGAATGCTGATTCTTGAGTGGCTATTGCTCCACTCCTGGCCCCTGGTTTAGTCACTAACAGCATCACCTTTTCCCTAGGAGGGGTCTTTCATGTGGACGGATGGTTCCAAATACAGTTTCAAGACATTTCCTGCAGACCAGCCCGATGGCCTCCCGGGAGAAAACTACCTGGGCTCCTGGATCCTGGAAAACGGTGGGAGCTTTGTCCTGGGGTGGTGTGTGTGTGTGTGCATGTGTGCGGGGGGGCGGGGGCAGATGCTTGGTGGCTCTGTTTGGTCAGGGCTGGCTCATTATCTCAACCCCCTGACTCTCACCAGAAGATCATCGCCCAGCTTCAGTTCCTGCTGGTTGGCTGGACCATCCGATCAAAGCATTGAGCTGTCTGGTTTGGTCTCCTACCCCTGCCCTAGCAGCTCAGTCCACTGACCTCTGCCTCTGACTGTCTCTGACTAGGGCTTATGCCAAAAGCTTTGGAGGAAGACAACCCCTGCCTCCCCCGCTCCCAAGACCACCCCAATCCAAACAAAAGCCCTCCCTAGTGGCTGGCCAGTTTCCTGGGGAGAGCCCTCTCCAATACATCCCGATCAGTGATCAGCACATGCACATAAGCCTGAGGACTGACAATTCCAGTGCATTGTGACCCACTCTCAAAGTGAACTCCACATATGGAACAGTGTGTGATCACCTCGGGCTGGGATCAGCTCCGGCCTGCCCCATGTGCCCTCAGGTATACCACAGCTACATGGGTGCAAACAGGGGATGCGTAGTGGGGTCAAGCAGGGTCGCACCCACCCGCCCCAGATTTGCTGCTTGGCTTGTACTGAGCATGCTCAGTAACACTACTGAAGCTGGCTGCCCTCACTCCCGCCCCCCCCCCCACTATTGGCAGGCATGGGTCACCCAGTTACACCAATTTGCACTGGAGAAATTGAGGACCCAAGATGCAAGGTGGCAATGGAGCAGGGCAATGTTGCTCTCAGCCTTTCTTCTCAGGCCTCATCTAAGTTCCCACTAGGGTTTTCCACTATTTATCTATCTATCTTTCTGTAACCCTTCTGCCCGTCAGAGTTGGCAGCAACAAGGGCCGGGTTCAATATCTAGGGGATCCATTCCAATAACACAATGCAAACCGGCTTGAGCCCCCACCCAGTGACCTGGGACAAATATATACCACCCCTGCTGAGCGCCTCCAAAAGACAATACTTCCCCTCTCGCAAGCACATAGTCTGAGTGTAACAAAAAGCCTTTTAATAACAGAGAGAAACAATGTGGCATTATGTTGGGGAAACACCACCAACAGGATTCATAACACAACCCATGAGCAAAAAACCCACCCCAAGCAAATTGGGGCATGCCCCTTTCCCTTTGGTTCTTGAGTCCAGCAACCCCAAATCACCCAAAGTCCCAAAAGTCCAATGACCCAAAAGTCTCTGTCCCTGGTCAGGGCAGCCCCAGAGTTCGAAAGTTTATCTGCGGAGCTTTACCTCCCAACCTGGGTGGAGATGGGACGGGCGTAAGAGGCACCTTACATGATCTGAAGCTGACCACCCCACAGCTCCATAGGCCTTCGCTTCGCTCCGCGGCCTACAAGCAGCTCCCGTCGTCCCCCGAACTGCTCCGTATCCCACCAGCAGCTCCCGCCGTCCCACGAACTGCTCCACCAGCCTGTCCACAAGGCACTCCAGCTGTCCCGCAAACTGCTCCACAATATATCTTCAGGCTCCCCCACTACTTAATACAATACTCAGTAATTTCAGCTCTTAGTCAGTTCAGCTCTTTAGTGAATTCAGCTTGTAGTAGGGGAGCCTCAGTACTGGTGCACCATTAGCCCAAAGTGAGCTCAGCAGCCTATAACTAGACTCCTAATAGAATCAAAATTAGCTCTGATATTCCACAGTAGAGAGAGGAGGAAGTACAATTAGCATATAGGGTCCTCACCCAGAGATCCATGCTACCAAGTATTAATACTTATCCCCAACCACTCTCAATTCACAGAGTTTTGGAACCCATGACCCTTGCCTAGCGAGTGCTACTTAATTGATGGTGAGTCCCTCCATCATAACAAAAGGCCACGTACAGTTCCAAGCACAGTTCCCATAATCAGGGTAATAACAATTTATTCTTCCTGCCCCAATAACAGAGACACTGGGGATCCCACAGCAGCCAAAGTGACCATTTGGGCAGCTATGGCCTCATGCTAGGCAGGGTGGGTGTGCCTATGCAAATGAGATCAGCCCCTGAAGTTCTTTTCCACAACTTGCCACACCTCACCACCAGGTGTCAGGGTGGAGCCCATCCTGACTCTGCTTACACTTCTATCACCCCAGTCATGACCCAACAGATGCCCGCACTGGTAGAGTGGTTACATTAGCCGTCACATGCAGATGACTGTCCTAGTCATGGATGTGCCTGTTCCTGCCAGCGGGCGGTTTGTTCCTGGGTTGATTCCTTCTGATTCCATCTCTTTCAGGCTTTGTCACCTGGAACGACTTTGACGGCAGCTGGTCCTTCCCATTCGTTTGCAAATACACCCTGCGGAACAGGTACCATCCAGCTTCGCTCCCACCAGGGCGGGCTCTTCTCCAGACAGGCAAACTCTAGCAGTGGCTGAAGGTGTCCCGGTGACTGTTCGGGCACCCACGGGGCCCTGTTGTTGTTTATATTGCTCTTGTGCTCAGACTGTGCCAGGCACTGTACCAACACGTAGGAAGACACAGTCTGTCCCAGTGAGCTCCACATACAGCAATGGCAGTGTCCTGCCTGCATACCGCCTGCTCGGGAAGAGACGTCTCTAGGGAGCTTAGTCTCCAGGGCTCCTCTGGCCCAAGGGTGGGTGACTCCTGTGAGATGGGCGCCATCCTCCCAGGCTGAGATCCTCCAGCTCAGGCAGGAGCCACTAAACGGCCTTCAGACAGGAGCATCTTTAGTTACTGATGACCTGAAACTGGCCGTACTGGCATTAGAGCCTCAAATGGGAAAGGCCCCGTATCCCCTTCCCTGACCCCCCTAAATCCGCCAGGACCACTGCCCTGGGGCCACATTGGAGCTAGCACCCCCTACAGGGCAAAGGCCCCATGTCCCATTTCCCATCCCCTGAGCCAGCACCCTGGGGCCAGATCAGAACTGGCGCCCCTAGAGAGGAAAGGTCCCATCCACATCTGGGCACCACAACCAACAGCTGTTTCTCTTCCTCTTTTGCATGGGCAATGCCTGTTCCCACAGCTTCAGGGACCAATCCTGGTAACAGGATGTGGTGGAAGACATGGCCTGTATCCTGCAGTGGAGGCTGCGTCACCTTCCTATGCTGTAGCTTCACATCTGGAACCAATTACTGCTGTGTCCTTATCCCGTCTTTTGTGTCCTTGGTAGAACTGGGCAAATAACAGGTCTTGGGGTTTGCTGAGAATTCTGAAAAATTGGGGGGGGGGGGGGGGGTAAATGTTTAAAAAATATTCTGCAAATGGAGAAGTGGGGGAATCATTTTGCACCAGACAAAAATTTTGTTTTGAGTGTGACCATTTAAAAACTTTGTTTGTTTGTAATCAAACTAAAGGCCATTTCAAAAGGAAAAGTAGTTTCAGACCAAACACGCCAAACGTTTAGATTTGTTCTGGGTTGGTTTTTAGTTTTGACAGATACACTTTAGTGAAGCCAAAACAATTCACCAAATGGTTCGGTTTCACCAAATCTGCATTTTTCACCGGAAAAGGGGCTGGTCTGAAAAATGTCACCCAACTGGATTCCCCCTCGGTCCCAGCTGGCGGGCGCCTGCTGGGAGCCACTTTCCAATGGGAACCCGCAGCAGGCCTGAGGCAGGGGGAACAAGGGTCACAATCTCTTTGGACTCCAGAGCCACCCAGCTGTACACTGCGCTCTCACTGGCATGGCATCATTCGGCGATTCTGCTGATACAAGCTTAGCGAGCTCCCTGCTCCGATCCCTGCTTGTCTTTCTCCCTCCCCTTCCTCCTGCTTTATACATGTACCAGGTCATTCATACAAATGTTCTGGGCCAAAACAAAATGATCAATAAAAAAGCTGCGCGCCCAGAGAACGAATGTAGTCGTCATTGTTCAGCTCCTGGCACAATGGGGTCCTGTCCATGGGTGGGGCTCCCAGGTACTACTGTAATACACCTAATAATGTGCAGTGCCTGGCACAATGCGGTGCTGGTCCATGACTGGGGCGCTCGGGTGCTACCATAATACACCTAATAAATAATAATGCCTGTGACAATGTGGAGGCTGTAAGGCTCAGTTCTGCTCCTGAATGGTTGATGTTTTTAACCTTCAAAGCGAGGTGGGGTGGGGGGAGGAAAGGGCAGCGACCTGTGGGGAAAGGTTTATAAAACCACGGCAGCTTTGCCAGGTGGAACACTCACTTGCCGCGTTGCTTGGGGATAAGCCAGGCTTCCAGATTTCCTCTTGACTCTCTGAGATTTCAAGGGACAGGGAGATTTCTACCCTCTCCCCCAGCTGAATTTCCCATCTCAAGTCACCAACACGACCCAACGGGGCTCTGCTGAATCCCAGAGGTGGAATTGCTCTGGCAAGCATTGGGCTGTGTCCACTCTTGACCATAACCACAATGGACTGAACCCCAGGGCCCTTATCCAGCCGGTGACACTGGGGCATTTGCCTGGCTAAGGGATGTGTGAAATCTGCAGGCCCAACCTTACAGCCTCATGTTACAAGGTTCCCCATATGGAGACTCTTCTTCTGCAGGGAGGCAGTGTTTACTCCACGGCAGAAAAATGAGGGGCTCATCCCCCTCAGCCCACCTGGATCCCCACCTGCATCAGGCCATTGGAAGACTGAGGCTGACTTGATGGCAGCCTTTACATTCTGCCCAGGGGAGAACAGCCCAGGTACCGACGGGGTGTCTAACCTGGTGGAGAAAGGCAGCACAAGAACCAACAGCTGGAAGGTTAAAGCCAGACACACCTGAATTAGAAACAAGGCATGGATGTTTGCCAGGCTGGGTGAGTAACCGTGGCACAGCCTGCCAAGGGCACGGGGGGGCCTTCAAACTCAGTCGGGAGGCCTTGGGGGAAGATGCTTCAGCCAGACACTTGTTACTGGGCGCAGGGCAGGGGGAAATGGGTGAACTTTGAGGCCTGTGATATACAGAAGTTCAGACTCGATGATCTAATGGTCTCTTCAGGCCTTAAACTCCATGGGTGTCTGCAAGGCACTGCACACACAGGCTCGCTGGATAGGTCTGCGCTGGATCTTGGGCTCCTATGGCTCTTCTCCAGGCCCCTGTCAGCCAGCAGAGGGACACCTCAACCAACATCTGCCCCACAAGGGGCACCTCAGAAAAATCAGTGCGGTCTCTGGAGCAGTCTCTGGGAAGCCGGTGAGGGGTGATTTGTGCCCCCTGTGACAAGGTGTGACTCACCACAGTGGCACCTCTTGCTGGCAGGTTGGTGCACCTTCTCCCAACGGTGCTTTCCCTACCATCACATCTGCTCTCGGGTCCATCTCACAGCAGAAGGACCGGGGTATCCTCTGAGTCATGATCTGTGCTCCCCCCTTCTCGGGGGCTGGCAGGCAGCTGTTCAGTCACTTCCCCAGTGGTGAGTGGGGGGACTCAGACCCTGAATGTAAAGGTGCTGGGGGACCCAGTGGGGCAAGTGAAAAGATAAACTAGCCATTGCAAAGGGCAGAGGGAGACCTAGCATACCAGAGGGGAAAGTTTAGCGATGATGTGCAGGACCAGGAAGACGTGTGTCCCCTGTTGAGGGAGGCAGACAGAGAAAGGGGTGAGCTATGGATGCAGCTTAGGCAGCTGCAGGGTCGGAGACACCCAACCCCTTGAGGGATGCAGTCTTGAGGGGGATGGTTTGTGATGGGGTGTCTACCTCACACACTGTAAAAGGGGTTAGTCCTGCATGCGAGCAGCGGATGTGAGTCCTCCAATCAGCCTAGAGAGGCTGCATTGGGCACAGGCAATCTGGGAAGGGCTGCAGGGAGTGACCAATCAGGGCCCAGCAGGCTCACATAAAAGAAGCCCCTGGGCTAGAGGGGGTCAGTGGCTGCTGGGAGCTTGAGGAGGAAGAAGTGTGTCTCTAGCAGACGGAGAGCCCTGCGGCACTATGGACAGAGCAGTGCTGGCGGGGACCAAGGGAACTTGCAGCTGGCTGCTAGGACGGACGCGCTGCATCCCTGAGGTAAGGGTGAAGAAGGTGCTGGGGTCGTGGGGAAGTGGCCCCGGAAAATGTGCTGAGCAGTTGGTTGGGGTGCAGCATGTGGCTGCCATCTATAGGGTCCCTGGGCTGGGACCAGGAGTTGTGGGCGGCCTGGGTCTCCCCTCCCCGCCACTGGGGAAGTGACTGGACTGTTAGGCGGGAATGCTAACCCCCAGAAGGGGGAACACGGATGACAACATGGCTGGAGGGCCAAGTCGCAAAGAGGGCACTGTGGTTCCTGAGGGGAGTTGAAGGCAGATGCAGTGATGGTGTGCAAGCTGCAGATGGGGGGGGCTGGACTTGAGCTCCTCCCCAGCGTGGAGCCATTAGCCATTAGCTGATGTTTGGGGCCTTGTTTCTGTTACCATGGGTCAGTCCATGATGTGAGTCAAGTCTATTCTTTGGTGGCATCTTGTGTATCTCCAAAGAATGTACACACAGTCCTGACAGCAGCAGGCAGCTTCATTGCCAGAAATCCCCACACCTGCCTCTCCAACGGGCTCTCTGCCCAAGAAGCCCAGCAGGTCCTTCCTCTCAGGGCCATGCTCACATCTGCTGCTTCTGGCTTTCTCTGTCTCCAGCACACACAGGCTTCTAAACCAATTACCCAGCCCCTGTGTTTGCAACTGGGGAAACCCCTTGTTACAGGGATTGATCAGCTGCCTCCTGATTGGGTTTAAGAGAGAGCACCTGGGCCCTAGGCCAGTCCACTGGGAGCTGCTTGACTCTGAGAAGGAAAGGAAAGACCTGGGAGAGCTGCCAGAGCGAGAGGAGCAACAATACTGAGAGCTTTGGGCATTGAGGGTGTAGCATTTTCCAGATCCAGACCCTGGTTGTCGGCAAGCAGGATCAAACCTGGGACCTCTGGAGCTAAATGCATTAGCCTCTACTGCATTAGCTGAAAGCCACATGGTGCATAGCTAAAGCAGTAGCAGATTCATTAATCTCAAATGGTCCCTGTGCCACTAGAGGGGAAAGAGAATCACACCCACAAGGTGTGTGGGTTACACAGGCAAACCTGATTTCAGTTTCTACGCTTCCTCCAGCTATCAAGCCACCCAGGATCCTTCCCACCAATTGCCTCCAGCTGACCACTGTTGTGCACAGTGATGGAGCACAAGTAGGTGTAGAAAAATGTAAGCATTTAAGAAGGTCGGGGAGGGGCTGTTCTATTATGTGGCCTAGTGGATGGTGCTGTGGACTGGAATTCGGGAGATATGGCTTCTATTCCTGGCTCTGCTGCAACACCTTGGGCAGGTCATATCCCCTCTCTGAGCCTCAGTTTCCCCATCTGTGAAAGGGGGATGCTAATTACTTTGTGAAATGCTTTGAAATCTCCTGATGAAAAGTGCACTGGAAACACTAGGGATGACTAATCTGGTCTCCAGCCCTAACTACAGAGCTCGGTCGCAGCTCTCGGGTGGTAAGGTGATGTAGTAGATGACCCTGGGATTACAGGCTGTGATGCAATCAGGCAAAGACCCAAGGAATCGGAGTTAAGGTTGTGCATAGCCCCTTAGCTCTGGCATCTGCTGCTTTGCCAGCGCCCAAGCTTAATGCAGTATTGTTTTTAATGGAATAAATAAAATACATTCCCCATTAGGCCCATCCTGTGGAATGCTCCCTAGAGATTAGGGAGAAAAAGAAATGGGTAAAACAAATGGTGCTTGTATCCTGAAAGCTTTGGATTTCATTAGATACATTGTTCTGTTTCTGGTCTGCCATTGTCCTCCAGATCAGACAAGGCTCCCGTTGTATATTTCTTCACGCTTCACAGCCTTAATTCCCAACACAGGTTGAGCTGTGACAGCCACAGTCAGAAAAATGAAGAGACTTCTCAGTGCCTTTATCTACACACCCTGCCCTTATCCTATTTCTAATATTGTTCAATTGTTTATTACTCCACAATTATGACATCATAAATTGAGTCCTACCAAATTCACAGCCATGAAAAACATGTCACACATTCTGAAATCTGGTCTCCCCTGTGAAATCTGGCTATTGGGGGGCAGGCGGTCATGATATTGCCACCCTTACTTCTGCGCTGCCTTCCGAGCTGGGTGGTCGGAGAGCAACAGCTGCTGGCCAGGCACCCAGCTCTGGAGGCAGCACTGCTGCCAGCAGCAGTGCAGAAGTAAGGGTAACATGGTAGGGTATTGGGGTTCTAACTCTGAATTTTAGCAGACATCCTTATCCAGGGCGACTTACAAACATTACAGTTGTACAGTACAATACTTGTGTTTATACTGTATGAACACATCCACAAAATTTACTATTTATGCTGTGATCAACCTTTGAAAAATGTGATTTCTCCACAATGTCAGTAGACCCTAATCCTAAGTAAAGCTGTGTTGTTACCAGTGTAATGATCTGTACCTGCAGGGCGGTATTCGGACATTAGATGTCTCTATGCACTTTAGAGTTCCAAATGGGGTGTAGGTCCTGGTAAACAATGGTAACAAAACCGGAATTCACACCAGGTGGAAGCCAATTTGTTTGGCACTAGTTGTGGCTGTTTTCTTTCTGTTTATGAATGGTTAGAAGTCCATGGATCACAACCACAGCTAGAAGGAGCTATTGTACTAATTTAGCATAATCCTGCTTTGTGCGACTAATGACACCTCCCTGCATTGGTCTCTCCTTTCCAGAGAGCGAAGAAAGGAGCTGCAGCTGGGCTCCTGAGGCGGGTTTAGTCCGTGCCCTCATGTCTGGATGGGGATCAAAAACCAAGGCGTGGTTCCTGCTGCCTTTGTCTTGCCAGCCCCTGTGTCCTCTAGCGCTCTCTTCCAGTCGCTGCTGCTGCTGCTGCAGTTCCCCATGGCCAGTCATGGAGATGGATCTATGCACTTGACATGCAAGACCAGGCTGGGAAATGGCTCCAAGGACTGCAAGGAACCTACAGGCTCTAGCAGCTGAAGAGCTATGCAGCAAGGGACTTAGGCCCACATTTTCACAGAGACTTCAGTGCCCAACTCCCATCGCTTTTAATGCGGGTTAAGTGCCTAAAAATACCTTTGAAGATCTAGGCCTTAAAATATCATCCATGCATAGACCTAGAAGCTGCTGTGACCTTTGCTTAGGAGATCAATGGAGTTTTCTTGTGGCACTTGACTCTGTAGTGTAATCCTGGTTCCAGCTGTTTTTATGTACAGAAGGGCCTGGGTTCAAGCCCCAGTGGAACCAGCTGAGCCCTGCTGCCAGAGCGTAAAAGCCAATGCTGCAACTTTCTGGGCTGATTTTATATCACTGGGGGAGCCTATGTTAGTACCCACCCCTCTTCTCAGCCATCTTGATTCCCAGAGGCTCTTTCCCAATGAAATGCAAGGGGGGGCACTGTGTGGCCTAGGGCACTAGATTGTGGCTGGAGAGAGCTGGTTCTATGTCATTGGCTTTCTGGCCTGGGGTCATTCACTTCGCTTCTTTAGTGTGTTGGTTTTCTCATGTGTAGCACAGGGAGAATGATGCCGACCTGCTCTGGAAAGCGCTTTGAGATCTGCTGATGGCCAATCTGCTATTGGGACCCCTGGCCTGTGCTGCCACCATGTGGTCACTGGCACTCCGCATTCCCTGCTGAGTCCACCAGGGATCCTCATGAATGCAGCAAAGTTATGCATCTGCCTCACCTGCCCCCCCAAGCTGGGGCTGCACCCCACCCCACCTCCCCCACTCCTATCAGCACAAGTGCACCAGCTGTGTGTCAGCAGGGACTAGGGGGGCTCTTCTGCTGCAAAACAGGGAACCCCCTGGGGGCACCCACCTGGGGACCATGGATGACCCCTACCTGAAGTGCTGCCTGGCGGGATTCAGCCAGCACCTGGCTCTGATCAGCAACAGCTGCCAAGTAGAGTACTGCATCCAGTCTGGGATCTTCACCGGAGGGGCCCTCTCCCCGGCGCAGCTCCCTCCCTATATTCGCCATGACCCTGGTGGGCATTGACACAGTCCTGGTGACCAATGCCAAGGGAGAGCGTTGCTGGGTCAAAGACGCCCAAACCCAGCTGTGGCAGCTCAGGGATCCCGCTGAGCCATGCCCTGCCACAGGGCTGGGTGGTGGAGGGGGCTTGTCTGGCACGGCCACGGGCCTGGCCATCCTCATCGCCCTGGCTGCGTATGGCTCCTGGAGGCACAAGGCCAAAGGTTACCGCACAGTGGAAAAGGGACAGAGCCTAGTCCCAGACAGCTCTGCGTATGGCCCCGCTGCTGAGCTGGGGGGGGAGATGCCAGCCTGACCCGGAGAGCCAGACAGGTTAACTCCCACTGGCTTCTCCTGGGAAAAGCCCCCTCCGGCCCCAGGCACAGCAACAAGCTTCCTGCTGCGCAGAACCCTGAGCTCCCGCTTGGCAGAACCCAAACTCTTCTTTCCCTCCCCACGCTGCATGGCAGAGCCACAAGCTCCTCTTCCTCTGCTGGGCAGAGACAGGAGATCCCTCCCCTCCCAGGCTGTTGCTGGGTCCAAGCCCCTGGAGCTAGAGATATATGTGCACAGGAGTCAGGGCAGGGGTAACGCTGAAGTCCACCTCAGAGAGCCGGTGGAGTGTCTGTGCTCTGAACTGCCCAGTGATTCAATGCAGAGACAGTGAGGGCAACTCCCTAGCCTTCCCCCAGGGCTGACCTGTGGGGGGTGGAATTAACCCAGCAGGGTGGTAGGGAACGAGCCACAGTTGAGATCAGGCTGTGGGTGGGGGGGATGGCCTGTGACCCAGCACTACACCGTGCAGGGATCACTCTAAAGGTCCCCCTCATGGGCCAGCCCAGAGCGTCTTTGCTCCTTTTACCTCCACCCCACTCCCCTGAATCCCCTTTGCCAATTCTCTGAAATGAGATGTGGGCCTCAATTTCCACAGGGCCCAACCTGAAGTCCCTTAAAGGGACCTGACTCATTGTCCTCGCACCTAGCTCTTTGGGAGTGTCACTTTTTGGGCCCCCCCCCCCCAAGTCATGAGCCCCTTCCCAATGCTCAGGTGTAGAGAGGAAAGCATAACCAGCCAGGGTAGGAGCCAGGAGCCTGTCTCCATGGGCAGCTCCAGGAGGAGGAGGGCAGGGTTGCAACGCTGAGGTGCCTGAACAGGGGATGTCATCTATCTCCTGCAAGGTGGTGGCGGGGGGTGGGCAGAGTTCAGAGCCATCTCAGGCTATAGGCACGTAGACACCCACCCTCCCATGCAGCAATGCCAGGGAGCCAACACCAAGGGAGGGGGAAATACATGCACTCTGTATTTCAGAGCCCCCATCCCCTCCCAGGAACCCTCAGTCTGGAGCCTGCCTCTCTCTAACCCCTGGCACCCCCTGCCCAGCCACACCAGCTTAATGCTCCTTGTCTCACCTATGCTTACATGGCCCCACCAGGGTTGCTGTGTAGTTTGGGGTGTCTTTAGGGTCATCCTTCAACAAGGGGAACCTCCCCTACCTACGCCCCCAGCTCTCCTTCCCCCTTTCTCTCATGCTACAGGCCCCAGACCTCCTTTAGCTCTCTTCTGCAGGGAGATGGCTGCCACAGGGCTGCTGGGCTATAGCAGCAGATTGGCAGAGCTCCGTTCACAGCTCTGCGTCCCCACCCCTGCCCCATGTTAGTTTCCCCAGCTGGAAAGGCAGGATAATGTTCATACTGCAGGAGAGGGTGGTGGTAATGGATGGACAGACCTCCTTTGCAACCCGGGAGGCAGAGCAAACCCCAATAAAAGCCAAAGAGCCTGCTTTTGGGCAAAAATTGAGAGACACAAAGAGCGGCGTGGCCTTTGTCCATCCATAGGAAGTTTTTCCAGCATGCTCCTAGGGGGCATCCATAAAAGCAAGAACTAAAATGGTTCAAGGTTGAGTTCTATTGAAAATACCCCCTCTCTCGCCCCCATTCCTTCCCCCCCTTACCCTTTTTTTGAGTACTCACAGTCGGCTCACATGCCATTATAGAAAAGGAACTCAGTATCCTGAGTCAGCCACTACCTTCTCTCTCTAACCTCTGGCAGGTTTCCACAATAGATTAGAAAGATGCAGCTTTTCTTTTATTTCAGCTAGCAGTTAATTGCACAGGGGACAATGCATTAAAAAAACCTGTAAAAAAATATATATGTATATACTGTGTTGTAGTCTATGAAATCCAGCATGTGTTTGGGTGAACAGATTCCTAGATCAAGAGGGATTTTTCATAGATTGGCCCTGCTCTTCCCTAGGGAAACAATCCCAGGTTTTTAGTGGTGACTCCTAGTATAACCCACCTTGTTCTACCACTTGTGAACTCAGCCCTCTACCTTGGGGTAGAGGGAATTAAACACTCACAGCTCAGGAGGGGGGCATCACCTCTGGAGAGTGAGAGGGGCAGTGCCTGCTCAGACAGACCAAAGCAGAGAACTGTTTCAACTCAACTCACTGATACGAAAAGATTGTTGGCAGCCATGCTCGTCCCAGATTATCAGCGAGAGCAGGTGGGCGAGGGAATCTCTCTTATGGAACCAACTTCTGCTGGTGAATGAGAACCAGACTCCGTAACTCCCTCTTGGCCTTGGGTTGACCATCCCCCTGGAAGGAAGAGGCTCTCACATGACCACTTGCCACAAACGGGTAACAAAAGACACACGGACAGGCCCGGGTGATGCAGACAGCAAACGCCCCCACCACCTGGTGGGAGAGCTCTCCATTTATTAAACTGGCACATACACTCCACACGAGCGGGCAGCGCCATCGTGTGGCAACACACCAGAGAGATGGGCACAGCGCACCGTTCACAAACAGAACACAATATACAGCAGGACACTGCCCCACCCCAGCCGCACACCCCGCATCCAATGCCACGAGGATACACAGAGAGGAGGGATGACCCTTCCCACAGCCCAGCCACCCTGCCCCACCCTGGTCCTTCTAGAGAAAGTATAAAACCACAAAAAGAAAAGGAGTACTTGTGGCACCTTAGAGACTAACCAATTTATTTGAGCATGAGCTTTCGTGAGCTACAGCTCACTTCATCAGATGTTTACCGTGGAAACTGCAGCAGACTTTATATACACACAGAGTATATAAAGTCTGCTGCAGTTTCCACGGTAAACATCTGATGAAGTGAGCTGTAGCTCACGAAAGCTCATGCTCAAATAAATTGGTTAGTCTCTAAGGTGCCACAAGTACTCCTTTTCTTTTTGCGAATACAGACTAACACGGCTGTTCCTCTGAAACCTATAAAACCACAGTTAGAAATAAAACAAAAGCACAGCTGGAGGGGGAGGGAGGAAGAGACAATCAACACCCCACCCCTCCCTGGGAGGAACAATCACAGGGGCCTGTAGGTGACCCCTTCCAAGCCTCTTCCCCTATCCTAGAAACCAAGTCAGACTGGAGGCCACTCCTTGCTAGCGCAACAGGGGTAGGGGCTGGGTAACGTGTGACAATCTTACTGGCTAGGAGGGGGAATATGGGACTGGGCTGGGAGCTGAGATATACTTGGAGGGGGATAGAGGATGTGGGGGAGGCTAGGGCAGGGAGCTCAGATATGCACAGTGGGGAATCTCAAGGGTTGGGGGGAGATCTGTGTGATTAACAGCATTTTCAGTTTGCTGGTGGTTCAAAAAATAATAATTTAGAAACCAAAAAATTCTGGCAACTCAAAGAAAAAAAAGATAGTTTCAAGTTTAGAGCATTTTAAAGATAAAAAAAAGAAAATGGAAAGCAATTTTGAATCAAAAAAGCATCATTTGCCTTGTAAAAAAATCAAAACATTTCCATTTTTTAGTGTTTTTTTTCCTTTTCCCCCCTGTTCTAGTCTGGGGGTAGGACTACTCCCCCATCATTAGCAAGTGCATGGGAAATACAGAAAAGGGTGGGTCTTGGGGCACTGGCCACCTCTGGGGGACAAAAGGGGTGCTCAGGACAGGATGATCTCAGCCCCTCACTAAAAGGGGCTGTTGTGGCAATGAAGGGGGTTTCCAGGCAGTTTGGAACAGGATCAGTTCCTCAGGCATCCCAGCTTGGCGGCTGCTGTGATCTCTCTGGGGCAGGGTGAACAGGCCTTGTGAAGCCTCTGGGTTTCCCCTCCTCCTCTCCCTGCTCCTGCCACCACTCCGGCAAACTCCATCTGCAGCCAATCGCAACTCCTATCCCTCCCTAGTCCTGCCTCACCTACCCCCACCCAGCCACATCACCTGCTCCCCTCTCCTCTGCCCCACAGGGACTTCACAAGGGCTGCAAGGGGAAAATCCCCAAGCCAGGAAAGCCCAAGAAGCCAAAGAACTAAGCAACAAGACAGGAAAGGGTCAGGATCCCAGCAGGGAGCCACCTCACCCACCCCTTCCCCATCTCACTACAGGGATGGGACCTGGCGCATAGCCCATGGGACCCACCTCACTCACTAGCTGCAAAGAGGCCACTAGGTCGCAGCACCACAGAGGCTGAGCAGGGTTATGGATGAACTATAGATTTTACTGGGCTCCTGTTTCCCCAACATGGAGGCTAACCCCAGGTCAGGCATGTTTCCAATCAGCCCCCTGCCCCCCTCCAAACAGCACAGAGTCACACTAACAGGAGCGTATTTGTGCCCTTTTCCCACCTTCCTGAGGGGCGTGTGGTGGCCATTTTGCAATGTGGCCAAGCCTGACTGGGCGCCTCTCTTTCAAGATGGCCGCCCAGCTTGCCTCGCCCCCATGGTCTAACTTAAGTACCGTTTCCTTTAAGCATCCTAGCGCCAACGTCATCTTCAAGCGTGACGTGATAGATATACATACATATATACGACAAACCCCCAAAACATGAGGTATATAAATTCAGATCCGTATCCAGGGGGACTCCCCCATACAAACAGTTCAAAGAACCCATCTTATGGGGCCGGGGGGGGAAATCAGACCTCCCCTCCCCACATAACAACTCACCCCCACCAGGCCTGACCAGACAGAGCCACCCCGGGGGTATGGCTCCTTCACAGGTACAAGGAGATCAGCTCACACAGTTCTGGATGGGACTGGAGTAAACTACACTCACTGAGACAGGGAGAACCAGACTTGGTTTTGAGCCGTACAGAAGGGATCAGAGAGTGAGGGATTTCTCTCCCGCACACCCCACTGCACAAAACTGAGCCAGCTGGACTGGTTCTGACCCAGGTGAGAATGGATTAGGGGGAGTGGGAGGGGAAGAGGGACCCGGAGAAGACCGGGTCTGGTTCTGATCCATCCATCACGGATTCCCATCCCCTGCTCTAGCACTGTTCACGTAGCGGCTGGAATGAATCATTAAGGAACTAGTTCTGCTCCAGCCCACTATGGACCGGCACCAGGAGACTCGTACCCAGCTAGTTCTGGTCCTGACCCAGTGTGGAACATATCAAGGAGACGGGATTTCCATCTCATTTCCCCAAGGCTCAGATCCAAGCAGGCAGCAGACCTGGTTCTGACCCGATGTGCGGTGGGATCGGGGAGACAGGCAGGCAGGCCGGCCTGGGAGGGTGAGGTGGGTTGGGCGGGGGGTACCAGACCTGCAAACAGCACATTTCCAACTCACACTGAGTCCACAACATGAAAGCAGCAGTGACATAACAACACGCAACCAGTCTCCTAACCGGGGCAAGACTAGGACCGGTTTGAATCCTTGGCATTCCCACAGGCCTTTGCAGCGGCTCCCATGCGGTGCCGGAGCTGCCTTATGGGACAGGAGCACTTCCCGCAGGGTAGTGCCCTAAGAGGCAGTTCATTTTCACAGGGTTTAGCGGTTCAATCCCCCCTCCATTCCCAGCCAAGTGCAACAAGATTAACCTTGGTAACCTTGGGTGCGGGCGGCGCCCATGTTGGGAGACCGGCCCCACAGATATGCCCATTGACGAGGCACCGTGGGCCTCCTCCTCTGCTCCAACCCCAAGCCACACGTCTCAATGGTGCGACTGGTGCCCTCTGAGCATCACAGCAGCGGGAGGAGGAGGTGGGGGAGGGTGCAGGCACCGGGGCAGAGAGGAGGCGGCGAGTGTGGGGCACCGCCACGTGACAAAGCGCTGCTCCCGCCACAAAGAAATGCCATCTCCTCCCCTCCTCCTGTTCTCAGTCCTTCTCCTGGGCCGCGCTCTCCTCCGTGATGCCCTGCACCGCCAGCTCGGCCAGCACATTGTCCAGATAGTTGGAGTCTGGGTAGCCGTGGCCCGTGAGGTTAGAACCAAACTCCGTCTTGTGGTGGATCTCGTTCCAGATCACCGTGTCTGACTCGCCGGTGGTGCTGGAGGTACCAATGGCAAAGATCAGGCGGCGGTCCCAGGCCACGAGCAGCAGCTTCAGCACCTGGGGGAGTGCAGGAAGGAAAGGTTAATACACAAGCAGCTGAGAGCCCACCCCAAGACAGGCTGGAGTCTGCACACAGCCTCTCCCAAGCTTGAGTGGCGCAGTTCATCCCATTGTGTCGTTAACTCTGAAACATAACGATGACATAACATGATAACTCTGTTATTTCACAGCTGTTCATCCAGCTGATGTGCTTCACCACCACCAACCTGGCTCCCCAACCAAAATCTCCAGCTGCCTCTCATGACAGGCAAGGCACTGAGTTTTCCATACAAAATGTGGCAACATGTTATGACCAGCACATTCAGAAGCAGCACAAAAGAAACATGAGTTTATTTTCATATCAAAATTCAATAAAAAACTCCAGGGTTTGATTTGGGGGTTTGTTTTTTGTTTTAAATGGTCTGCAACTGACATTGTATCTGGTCTCTTGTACACAGAGCGCTGATGGACTTAGGTCTGGCTCGCTGTGGAGTATACCGGGGCTTTCTCTGGCATGAACCCACAGCCTCTGAAAAGGCCTCGATTATCCATTAGAGATGTCACTGAAATGGTGGGCTCCTGGCATCTCAGGTCTTTTGCAGGAGACCAAGTGAAAGGAGCTGGTACGTCCCAGAGCTGAAGCTCATCTCCTAAGAGGAGCTTGTGTCGGGGACGCACGCACCAGGCTATGATCCTGTATGAATCCCCATCATCATCCAAAGACCCCTGGGCTAGTCCGGCAACCCTATATCTCCTACAGATTTCCCTCCCTCATCGGCTCTCCAGTGAGGAGGGGGCAGCCTGTCCTATGACAGCCCCTTCTCTCAGCTCCACAGGACAATAACCCCACTCTGTAGGGATGCTCTGTCCCCTCTCTGGGTCTGGAGAACACTTTCCACCTGGGATGTTAGAGGTGTATGGTTCTTCCTTTGGCTATTGTCCCGCCCCAAACCAGCTGCTCTTGGGGAAAGCTCACCTCACCCCACCCCACCCTGCCCTAATGAACCATTGACTGAAGGCAGAATCCCCCCACAGTCCGAATGTCCTGGGCTTGGGAGACATAGGACAAGACTTAAGTTCCCTCTAAGCTGCACGGCCACACAGCAGCCTATTAAGCACCCCGCAGGCACTCAGGGCTGTGGTGGGGAGAGGCCAACCCAGCCAAGCCCTAGAGCTTCTGTGGTGGGGAGAGGCGCCTCTCCCCTGCCACCCCCTCAGCCCAGGTGCTACTGCGGGGTCGGGGGTGGGGTGAGATAGAGCTGATAGGGAGTCCTCTCTCCCCACTGTAGCCCTGGGACAGCCTGCATCCCAAACCCTTCATCCCCAGCCCCACCCCAACCCTCTGCCCCAGTCCTGAGCCCTCATTGCCAGCCAGAGCCCGCACCTCAACCCTCTGCCCCAGCCCTGAGCCCCCTCCCACACTCCAAACCCCTCGGCCCCACGCCCACCACACGAATTTTGTAATGTGCACAATATGAAGGTGATGTGTCACACATTGCCTTCATATTGATGCCCATAACAAAATTCATTCTGCATATGTGTGGGAAAAATCAGAGGGAACGCTGGCAGGACACCCCTCACCTTTCGGCCCTTCTCGCTGTCCGGGAGGTAACAGTGTCGAGGGAATCCACGGGCTGTGAAGCCTTTCCCGGGGTTTGGATGTTCTGGTCCCTGTGCAGAGGGAGAGAGAGAAATTGCATCCTTTGGGATCTTGAGAGGGTGCATAAGCGCTGTTTAATCTTGAGTCATCACAGCATCACCAGCTGCAGGGTCACACAACTGCAGGGCCCTCCAGTGCCCCCATCACCCACTGCTGGATCTGCTACAAGCCCCCCGCCAGGGAGGAGGGTGCCCAGCCAGGGGCCCGTGGCCCTGCAGAGAGACATTACCCCGAACTCCCCATGCAGCCTGCCTGTCCGGCAGCACTTCCAAAAAAGGCTGCTTCTAATGTACGCGCCATCACCAAGCAAAAGACAGCTGCTGCACCAGCATGATCATTCCCTCCAAGAACTGGGTCACAACCAGAGACAGCCCTTGGGGGTATGGAGTTATCACAGATCTCTCTCCATGGTTGCACCAAGGCGGCTACACGCAACAATACAGCAACTGCTCTCACAAGAGGCGCCTTCCACACCCATCTGCTCTGATACAGGGGTCTCCTGAGGCCAGTGGGCAGAGTGGGTACATAGGGTTTTATAGGGATCCCCCGAGTTGGATATCTGCATAATAATTCACCAAAGGGTGGCACATGAGGTCTCTACAGAGCGCCAGCAGCCCACTGGTCATCACGATCGCTGTGACATGTATGTACAGATAATATTTAAGGGGTTATGCATCTATACTGAAAATTATGTTCTCAAGGTATGTGAGTTAAGGCTGGTGTGACATTGCACCCCATATTCTTCACAGTGATATGACGATATGCTAAGGACATAATTATGATGCATTTTGTACAAGACGGGTAATGTGAGGTGTCATTGGAAAAGTTATAATTTGCTGAATATGATTATTTGTGTGCATTAATCGTTTTTGTATATAAAATTAGGAATATATTTCCATCCTGCTTACTCTGGGTGACACCCACAACTAGCCTTTCTGGTACAACAATGAAGAAGCCAGACAGTGCTGATGGCCCATCAGCAAAGACAATGGACCATGGAAAAACTTAATCTTCCCCTGTAAACATTCCAGGCAGCCTGTAAGTAATGGCTGCTATAACTCAGCAAGGTATGCAAGGGCATTTAACCAGGCCCCATGACTCTGGGCTCCATCTTGGGGATGTCAGTGTTTTTCCACAAGCTGAGTTTGGGACAAAAGATTCACGCCATATGCTAAAGCTATATAAGGCAGGGAGTGACATCATCTGTTGTTCTTCACTCCACACACAAGAGGACTCCTGAAAACACCTGAGGAACAAAGACTGAACTGGGGGAAGTGCTGGACCCAGACTAAAGGGATTTCTAGCCTGTGTATGAAAACCTGGGGATTCCAAGCTGCAAAGCAAGCTTGTGCCTTAAGAATCTGCAGCCTCCTTGTATCATCCATCAGGGTGAGAGATTGTTAATTCAAATCCTATCTTTCTAGTATGTTGAGCTTAGTTTGCATTTTTGTTTATTTACTAGGTAATCTGCTTTGATCTGCTATCTTTTGTAGTTAAACTTATTTTATGTTTTAATCTAAATCAGTAAGTTTGGAGTGAAGTGCTTGGGAATCTTAGCTCAGGGGGCTGTTGCATTTCCTCTCCACATTTAGGGAGGGATGAACTCTATTAGCTTACAGTGCAAGATGGTATAATTTTGGGTTTATACTCCAGTGTGTGTGGGGGTGGCGGGGGTGGTGGTTCTAGCTGGGAAGCTGGTGGTTACTTTGGATGTAGCCTCTCTATTGTTGGTCCATGCAGTGGCTGGTCAGAGAGCCTGAACTGCAGCTGGGTGTGTCCCTACCTGTATGAATGCTGGAGGAAGTGCAGGACCGGGAGTGAGTCTGTTGCTTGTCACAGCAGCATAGTGTGAGAAGAAGCGCCCAGGCTGGTGGGTCAGAGGGCTCAGTGGTACCAAACTTCCAGGTGGCACCCCAGGGGGAACCCATCACAGTGGGTAAACAGGTGACGTGCCTCAGACCATTCCAGACTGAGCTTACCTCCCTGTCTGAGCATTGTCTGTTGTCCACAATGCAGATCTATTTGCATACACAGCCAAGCTGCTAATCAAGTAAGGAAATATACAAGAGATCCTGTTTACAAGTACAGATGACAGATTGTCAGGGGATATCTGGGGGGGCAGAGGTACCCCTGGCATTCTTTACTGAGGACACAAGCGTGACTTGCCTCCTGGGAAAAGGATCACAGCCAGGCCTGGCTGAAACACACTGGCAGGGCTTTGGTGGGAGCTTTAGCTGACTTGGTCTAGGTTATCGAACACACGTTATGATTTTACTTTAGATGTAACCTTTTGTTTCTAAAATTTCTACTTGCTTTCATTTGAATCTCCATGCCTATATTGGAATTGGAAAAGGTACAGAAAAGGGCAACAGAAAGGATTAGGGGCATGAAACAGCTTCCATATGAGGAGAGATTTCCAAGCTGAAAAGTCTCAATCTTGTTAAAGAGACAACTAAGGGGGGGGATATGATGGAGGTCTATAAAATCATGATTGGTGTGGAGAAAGTAAATAAGGAAGTGTTATTTACTCCTTCTCATAACACAAGAACTAGGGCTCACCCAATGAAATTAATAGGCAGCAGGTTTAAAACAAACAAAAAAGTATTTCTTCACACAATGCACAGTCAACCTGTGGAACTCTTTGCTAGGGTATGTTCTGAAGGTCAAGACTATAAGAGGATTCAAAAAAGAACTAGATAAATTCATGGAGGATAGATCCATCAATGGCTATTAGCCAGAATTGGTAGGGATTGTGTCTGTAGTCGCCTCTGTTTGCCAGAAACTGGGAATGGGCAACAGGGGATGGATCACTTGATGGTGACCTGTTCTGTTCATTCCCTATGGGGCACCTGGCATTGGCCACTGTTGGAAGACAGGATACGGGGCTTTGGTCTGACCCAGTATGGCCGTTCTTATGCCTTGTTAAATAAACTTTGGCTTGTTTTCACGACATACTTGTCTCAGTGCTGTGTGTTTCACAGAGCCGTGACTGGAGGTGGAACTGGTAAACTGGGAGCAGTGAATCTGTGAACTTTGTGAGTGTCCAGTGGAGCAGGGGCTGGATGCTCCAGAGAGACGCTCAGAGGGTTTAAGGTTGGAGTGTGCTTATCGCTATGCCATTGAGTGATGGAGGGCTGACGAGGCCTAGAGGGGATTGAGTCTGTTGCCTGTGGAGGCAGGGAGCAGGTCCCCTGTAGGCACAGACAAGGTTTCCTCATGCTAAGGGCAGGTGGTAGCGAAGTGCCTCCCAATCCCAGATAACTCCGGGAAGTGTCACACACGCCCCCTCCCTCCTGTAGAGCTGGGGTCTCACCTGGACCCCTGGTGCGATGTTGTAGATGATCCGAATGGTTTTACAATCAGGGTGCCCAGGCAGCGAGTGAGGGATGAGGTGATATTCCATCTTCCCGGGGGGCTGAGTCCCAGTCTTCACCCCATATATGGTTTTGCAGGTTGGGCACTGCAAGCTCCCATCCTGAGAACAAGAGTAAGAAAGGAAGAAAGGAGAGAAAGAAACCAAATCAGGAGAGCTTCCTCCTTCATATTTACTGTTGTCAGACTGACATTCCTCCAATCCCGCCACACACCCCTCTACTGAACCACACACACTCCCCCCGCACCTTGTCTAGGAAATAATATGAATGATCAAAAATAGTTTTTCCCATAAAATGATTGAGAATGAAACATTCTTTGTTTCTTTCAAAAATGTTTATGGAATTTTTTCAGGTTTTTTGTCTAAACAATTTCCTTTTCTCCCCCATTTAAATTTAAAATCGAAAAGTTTTGTTCTGAGTTTCATGTTTCTTCCTCACGCCTTTCCCTCGCTTTTCTTGGTGGGGGGACAAAACCCAAAAATGAAAAATCAAAATGATGCAAAACATTTTTGATTCCCCATAAAATTTCAAACCAAACAAAAATTTGTTTGGTTTGAAAAGCCATTTTTCATCAGAAAAATTTCAACCTTCCCTAGAATATACTGAATGGATCTTCTTCTCAAGACACACTGATCAATGGTCATCTGCGTGAATCATTTTCAAGAAGAAAGAGAGAGAGACCTGCCCCGGTGCCCACAGGACACTCTTCTGCAATGTGAGAGACCCAACTTCAAATCTCTTCTTCCGATCAGGTGGTGGGGAGGGAGGGGGATTGAATTCACCTCTCCCACAATCCAAGGGAGTGTCCTAACTCCTGAGAAAAAGCTTTTAAGGGAGGTGGCACCAATGCTTCCTTCTTTGGCCATTTTGTGACTCTAGATCAGTGGTTCTCAATCTTTCCAGACTACCATACCCCTTTCCAGAGGATGATGTGTCTTGTGTACCACCCCCAGGTTTCACCTCACTTAAAAACTACTTGCTTACAAAATCAGACATAAGAATACGGAAGTGTCACAGCACACTATTACTGACAAATTGCTGACTTTCATCTTTACCATTAATTATAAAATAAATCAATTGGGATGTAAATATTATAGTCACAATTCAGTGTACAGCATATGGAGCAGTATAAACAAGTCATTCTATGAAATTTTAGTTTGTACTGACTTCGCTAGGGCTTTTTATGTAGCCTGTTGTAAAACTAGGCAAATATCTAGATGAGTTGATGTACCTCTGCAAACCCCCAGGGGTACGCGTACCCCTGGTTGAGCACCACTGCTCTAGGCCTTTAAAAATGCCCAAAACAAAACGTCTTGGGTTGCTAAAACATTTCATTTGACCCAAAACAAACTTTTTTGATGTGGCAAATTTTTTCAGAATTTTCAAATTCAGCTTGACCCAAACTTTTTTTTTTTTTTTTTTTAAATTTTCCAGAACGGTCAGCAAACCAAAAAAAATGCAGTGATTCACCCTGCTCTACTCACAATACCTTCTGTAGTACAGATGGGGAAAATGAGGCACAGAGCAGGGACCTTATCAGAGTTGAATTTCAGCTCTCTCATGCTCCCATTCTCTTCTATGGTCTGGGCTCCTCAGCTGGACTTCAACTCCCGTGATGCATCGTGGCTATACACCAGTCCTGATGCAACCACCTCCCCTCACCAAGACAAGGAGGCCATGATGCAACAGGGGAGACATAGTCCAAGCAGGTAGCCTGGCCAATAGAGGAGAATGGCGTCACAAGGCACCCACAAAGTAACTCGTAGGAGGCACCACAGCTTACTTTCCAAATGGAAATATTGGGATTGTAGCCAAGATACTCTAGCTTTAGATTTTTTTGCCAAAAGCTCAAAAATTCTCCAGCAGGTGAGGGGACATTTTCCAACCATAACTGCACATCAGCGAAGGTCTCTTGACTCCCCATCTGGATCTCTAACTACTGCCTCACGCCCAGCAGCAAACCAGATAACCTTTGCAGCACAGACAGGTATCCTAACGAAACAGGATAAAACCATGGGAAAGCTGTGTAAAATTCACTGATGGTTTAAGGGAAGAGAATGGAAGAGGCCGTCTGGGGCAGGGATGGCCAGATATGAGGAAGACCCACACTGAGAATGGTTTCTACTCGACTTGCTAACGTTTACTGAGACAGCCAAGCATTCAGGAAGGGTCAATCGGCGCTCACCGCAAAGTGACTAAGCAAAGCCCTCCTGTTCCACAGAGCCAATGGAAGACACCAGGAGAAATGGTAGAGAGAACACTGGGCTCTTACAGCCTATCAGGAAGGAGGATTCAGCCCCAGGCAAGCGATCTGATTGGCTCAGCGTCCAACCCCAGGGAACGTTCTGTGCTAGGAGCCAGTCCTAGCCAGGGCCCCGTAGTGGCAGCTGGCCAAGCCCCCCACGCACCTTGTTGCCGTTGTTGTACATGGCGACCAGGCAGTGGAGGTGGTAGATGTGGCCACACTTGGACAGTTTTCCCACTAGGTCGGGCTTGACAGCTGGCTGGGGTCCCTTGTAGCCAGAGGGGGTGGAGAGGCGCTCCATACAGATGGTGCAGTCCTGGGAGGGAGGGGGGGGCAGCGGAGGAGGAGGAGGCAGTGAGAGGAGAAAGTCGAGTCAGACAGAGAGACAGACCTGGTCTGAATCCAGCCCAGGCTCGCAGCGATTGAGCATGTAGGCCAATGTGAATAAGCCATGTTGGGGGGGGAGAGAGGAGCATTTTTCAGCCCAAGTCCCACTGGGCAAGAACTACTGCCATGCAGGTTCAGTGTGGCGGCGAGGCTAACCAGGAATCAGAGCCCCGTCATCAGGGTAGGGTCAGGGCCCACTGGCGGGGGAAGCCAGAGCTGGCCTTGCTCTGTGGAAGGACACGCAGATGTGAGCTCCAGTGGCATCAGCCTAGCCCTGTTTGCTGGCGCGAGGATCCCCTTCCCGAGGACACACCAACAGCCAGAAGCAAGCAGCTATGAAACGCCCTCAGTGCAACTCTGCCATGTGCTTACACCCACCCAGACAACGTGCACACAGCATGCAACCCCCTACACCTCACATACAGCGTGAGCAACCTTTCCTCACAATTCACCCAAAAGGGTGTGTTTGCATGGCAAGATAACCAACCAGGGACAGCTCCAGCTCGCTGTACGATCCTGGTGTAGACGTGGCTCTGATCTCGCTGTAGCTGGCGGAGGTCACCTGAGGGATGAGGGGGTAGAGCATTGACTTTGTCCAGCTACACTGAGGTCAAATCTACCTGTGCCTTGTCTTCTCCAGGATTGTACAGCCAGAGCGCTAATGCACTGCAGAACTACAGAGATTTTGGCAGTGAATACTTAGCCCAAGACAGACGACCGACCCTACACCCCAACAGACGGCAACCTGGCACACCACGCTCTCACCTCGTCCGGAGGATGACGCACCTTCTGCAGGTATTTCTTCAGCACCTCCTCCGGGGTTTTACCTGGGGCAGGTAGGAAGAGAACCAGCACATGGGAGCAAGAGTTACACTGCCCTGAACGTGTCTGGGGAGACATGAGGCACCCTAGGAAAGGGGCGCCATGGGGAAGGGAGGGTTGAGTGGGGACAGAGCTCGGGGGGGGGGGGGGGGAGGGGGGAGAGGCTGTGCAATAAGGCTGGGGTGAATGGCACCCTGGTGGGGAGATTGGCAGGACATGGGGACAGAAAGGGGCTCCCGCTAGGGGCGTGCGGACTCCCAGAGGCTCTGAGTAAGGGCTCACACTCACCTTTCTTGGCCTGCTTTTTGGTCGTCTTGCGGCAGGTGTTGGCCACGCCCGGGATGGATTTGATTTCACTCTTGCTGACGGGTGGGGGGTGCAGCACCAGCTTGGGGGGGGCGGGTGAGGCAGACGGGCAGCCCCGCCGCGCTCATGAGGATCCCGGTGATCCCTGCCGGAGAGAGATGAGGAAAGGCCCTGAGAAGCCAGCTCCGAGGAATCTCAGGCACCCCCACAAGCCCTTTGGGCCAGCAACCCGAAGCTCCACCCCGCCTCTAACAGATCCAGATCCACCCTGTGAATCCCCCGCACCCCAGCACCCTCACAGAACGGACATCCCAACCCCACTCACTCCTAAACCGCAGCCTATGAACCCCCTGTCCTGCCCTCCAATGGTGCTCTCCATCCCCTACCTAGAACAGGGTACCTCTCCACCCACCCCTTACAACAAATGGACCAATATCACTGTCTGTCCCCATTCCTCTGAGGTACAGGCTTGCCCAGAACCCCCCATCCCTTTCTACACAGGTGCTGCTCAAAGCCCACTCCCCACACCAGCCCCAGAAGTATGAGTCTTCCCCCCTGCCCCTGGAGGTCTTTATTGCTCAGTCACACTAGGCTGGCCCAACCGGTTGGCTCCCTCACCTGCCAGCGCGGGGTTAACAGGGCTTGAGCCGTTGAGGTTCTTCACTGGGACGGTGGGAACCCTGAGGGGAAGGAATTGGGGGGTCAGAATTCACTGTGAGTCCATCCCCTTGGGGAAAGCTCCTGGCCCACTGATTGGTGCAATGCATGGATCCACCTGTTCCCAGAGGTTCCCCTGTCTCAGGCCACCGCCCCCCACCACGGGAATCCTGGCTAGGGAGTGGGGGGGCGAGCGAGGAGCAAACAGAAGCCCTCCAAACAGAGAGGGAGCGGAAACGTCAATGGACAACGGAGAGCCCGAAAAGCAGGGGACATGGTCTGGGGCTGGGGCAGGCTGAGCGATCCGAGGACAAGGGGCTCAGCAAACCAGGGAGTGAATGTGGCTCAGCCTGAAGTTCACAAGACACCCCCCACTGGAGAAGGGGGCTGGCAAAGCAAGGGCACGTGGCACATTCCCTTTCCCAGGATGCCTTGCACCCAGCTCCCACCAGACAGCCTGCAGCCACTTGTCCTCTCCTCTCCACTCCAGGCTGCACCTTGCAGGGGATGGGAGCTGTTATTGTTCATGTGACCCAACCAGACCAGCAGGTTTTACCTCCGGCTAACATCCTGCAGTTCACACACCTTGTGGGCCAGCCCAGTCTGGCAAGGGCCAGCATGTGCACATGCGAGCCAGGGTGTGCACCCAATCTGGGTAGGAGCATAGGGCTAGAGTGTGGGTGGGGAAGACACTCATCATCTGATCTGGAAATACAGCCACCAGAGACAATGACAGGCTGAGGGGAGTGTGGGGCAGAGGCTAGAGAGCTCTAGTCCCCAAAATTTCCTTGTCCTGATGACAACTGCACTCCAGCGTATTTCTAACCTCTGTACCTGGCCCTAAAAATCACCTCAGGCCACTGCTCCACCCACCCACGCACTTTAGACATGTCCGTGGCAGCCTGAGAGCAGCAGAAAGCTCCAGTTACACCCAGATGGTACACAGCCCTGTTTTCCGGGTTTAGCTCTTCCGCCAGGACTGACACGGCAGGAGCATCACGATAATCCAGGCAATGGGATTTTTATACGCACATCTCCTACTCATTCAAGAGATCATTTCTAGGGCTGGTGGGGCTACAATCTTTCAGACCTGGAAGCACAGCCAAGCTTTGGAGGTGGCAGTGCTGTTCTGGCCCAGACCAAGGCGCTGGGACTGAATATCACAAGACCTTGGGCTGGCACCGAATCTAATGACTGCACCACCTGAGATGGACTTACGAAAAGGAAAAGACAACACTGCAACAAGACTCGGGGAAATATACCACCAAGGGGGACTCTGGGTACAAGGCAAAACCCAGGGGGCAGAGGTCCCACTACGCAACCCACTCTCGTGTCCAGTGTTTGCTGCCAACCAGGTTGAGCCCAGGAAATTGCAGACATAGGCACCATCGCAGACTGCTGGCTGGGCATGTACCGCTCATTGCCAGTGAGGTCAGCTGAGCCCACAACTGGTGCCCCCCTCTCTCTCTCTTCTCCATGCCCTGTGCTTTTTGCTGGTGTCCCAGTGAGGCCTGCTTTGCCCACTTTCTCCATCAATGCTTATGCCCCTGAAGGGCTAAGTGGCGTTGGAGAGTCAGGGGAAGAAGTGGGGCTTCTAGGGGGCGATGATGGCAAAACAGCCCCACACACTTTGCACTGGGGGTGGCCCGTGTCCCATTCTGCGGCCTTGGAAGGGACAAACGGCCATGTGAGGCTGCGGAATGAAAGACAGCTCCCCGGCAAGACACAGGGGTCAGGTGGCACAACGCCAGGGCACCAGCGCGCCCGGCCGAGTCGGAATGTGCCATTTCATGGCTGGACTTTTGACATGGCTTAGGGCGGGGGGGAAGCAGGGGGATCTATTTAATACCTGGGGGCGGCAACAGAGGAGGGCGAGCCAGAACCGGGCACCCTCCTAGCCGGACAACAGTTGCCGTAGTGACAGACCAAGGCCTAGCCAGAGAATCCTCTAATCTAGAGACATGCCCTCCCCCGCGCTCCTCCTCCCCATGTCCCTTTTCTCTCAATCTTTAGAAACCCTGCCTGAGTCTCTGAACCATTCACAGCTCCTTTTGTTCCTGTGGCCCTTTCCTCCTGCTCTCTATCATGGGAAAGTTTCCCGGAGGGGTCACAGGCCTGGGCGAACGGCGACAGAAGGCTGATGGAAAAGACAGACAAAGGGCGAGAACCACGCTAATTAAATGGCCAAGAAAGGGATTTCTGGGGAGGGGGGCGAAATGTTTTCCTCATCAGGCAGCGGCATGAAAAGCTTTCTATAGGCCTTTTGATAGCGCCTCCCTCCCCCTGCAGGGCCGAGTGAAAGAATGTCCCATAGCCTCATTAAGATTCAAAAGGGGATTGCGGGCCTCACCCATTTTATCATTAAAGAGGTGTCTGGTATTTGTCAAGGGGGAAAGAGAGGGGCTGGGATGTGAAGAGGGAGATAGAGAGGGGCTGGGGTGTGGGCTACAGTTACAGCAGGCTTTATTTCTTCCTTAGGGACTTTCCACCACTCTGGAGGTTTGTGCCGTATAGATTTGGAGGTGACAAATAGCCACCACAAAGATTCTGGGCCTGATCTGCAGTGGGTGTAAATCAGAAGATGAAGTCAATGGAGCGATGGCCCATGTAGCTCCAGTGGAATCAGTGGGCCAGATCCCCAGCTGGGCTCAAGCTGATTTACACCAGCTGGGATCTGGACCTTGGGGTTTCCTCCACCTACGGCAGCTAAAACACAGATACTATGGAATCCCCAGGCCAATTGTTAATGAAACTCCCAGGTCTTAATGGCTGGAACCTGGGACTGGCTGACATGGTCTAGACCCCAGTCACCTGGCGTAAATGCACCCTGCACACTTGGGCTGGGACTCACAAGGAAACTGCCAGTCTGGATCAGACCCCAGATCCAGCTAGCCCAATCTCCTGTCTCTGACAGTGGTTGGCACCATATGCTGCAGAAGAAACTACATGAGCCTTACAGGAGCAGACAGGTTATAATTTCCCCCCACATTAGGTCTCATCGTGGTCTCTACTAGAGACTGGCTTAACCCCTGCGGCAGGAGGTTTAATATCCCTGCTACCTTTGTTATCACTTACTGTTATAACTCTGGGTATTCTTGTTAACAGTGAAAATGTCCAGTTCCTTTTTGAACCTTACTAGGTCGTTGGCCTCAACGACATCCTGTGGCAGTGAGTTCCACTGGCTAATGACAAAATGTGTGGAAAAGTATTTCCTTTCATCAATTTTGAATTCCCCCCCTCTCCTTTTCACTGACTCGCCCTTGTTCTTATGTTATGAGACAGGGATCTCCCTTCTCTAGACCAGTCAGTATTTTACATATTTCCATCACGTCCCCTCTTATACAGCTCCTCTTTAAGGTAATCTTTTACAATCTCTCTTCATAGAAGTTTTTTCAGGGCCCTAGCCATTCACACCGCCCTTCTCTGAACCCCACTAATTCTATAACATCCTTCTGGAGACAGGGTGACCTGTGCCGTCAAAGGCATCCAGGCAAAGCCACCCCACTGACTGATGTATTGGCACTACAAGTGTCTGTGTTATTCTCCATCCCATTCCTTGAGCATCCTAACAGCTTTTTTGCTTTTCTGACCATAGCTGCACACTGCGCAGAGGTCTCCACTGAGCTATCTACAATGACAACTTACTCCTGAGCTGATGCGATTAACGTACGGTGCACGAGTGGTTTAAATTTTCCCCTCCAGTATGCATTACAAAGCATTTATTGACACTGAACTTCATTTATCATCACGTTGCCCATTCCCCAGGCTTGTTTGGGTCTCTCTGAAGTTCCTCGGAGCCCTCTCTGGTCCTAACTAACCTAAATACCTTTGTGTCTTCTGCACATTTTCCTGTCCACCCTCCTTTCCAGATCACTAATAAATATATAAAATACCACACGGTCCAGTATGGAAATTATATCCCTCTGTTCACCTTCTGCCGGAATGAGAACTGACCACTGGACCCTACTTTTTGCTTTCCGACTCCTATCCAGATTTTGATCTATGACAACACTTGGTCTCCCATCCCATGCCAGCCTGATGTCTTGACTGCCGAAGGCCTTTAAAGTAAAACAGCAGCAACACCAGAATGAAAGTATACACACAGCACGAGACTGAAACAACAGATGCATGGTCCCAGATGGGCAGCTGTGGCAGACGGACCCATGCTACAGTGGCAGCACAGATGTCCATGGACAAGGCCGAGGGTGCAGGGCACCGGAAACAAACAGCGGGACCTGTGATGCAGGCTCTCCTTTCAATGGATGTTAACTGAACGCAGCTGAAAGGGCCAGTGGGGCAGCCCTCGGAGCCCATTCCCAGAGTGGGTACTGGACAGGTTACCCCAGGGCAAGTTCCCCCCTCCCGCATGCACAGTCCTGCCAACAGCCACCAGGGAGTTCGGTCTCCATAGCCCACTTCACTCACCCTTAGCTAAGAAGCTGATTAGCACCAGCTATTGGAGGGCTGGCATTCTGTGCTGTGGGTACCCTGGACCTGGGCTGATTATTAAGAACCCCAGGGGGAACCTCGCTTGCTCGCTCACTCACCCGGAGGCAATCAGCACACGGGACTGAGCGATGGCCAGGCGCTGCAGGTGGGTGCGGTTGAGGGTGTTGAGGCTGGCGCGTGTGGTCTTCCCATTGGCGGCAGGCAGGCTGGTGGCCGAGCTCAAGGCCGGTGTGCTGGCTGCCTGCCTCCGGCTCACCTGGGAGGCCAGGGTCTTCAGCGAGCTGCGCGTGGTGGCTGTGCCATCCGGGGGCTTGAGCCCAGGTGCTGGGATGGGAGGCTTGGGGCCACCCAACGGGGCGGAGGCTTTACGCTGCTGCTGCTGGGGGACCGCGGCGCCAGTCCCACCATTGGCCCCAGCCGCAACCACCGCCTTGACACTCATGACCAGAAGGCACTGGGGGCAGGTGCAGGGTGGGGTGGGAGGTGAGCTGGAAACGCCCGGGCTGGCCGGCCATGACTGGGACTTAGGCAGGGTGCCGGTGACCAGCGGGTAGACCAGGTCGAGGCGTCGGCGGATGCGGCGCTTGCGTTGGGTCTGCCGGTTGATCTGGCCCATAGTGCTGAAGTCAATGACGTAGCAGAAGCCAATGGAGGTGAGGTCGATCCAGGGGTGCTGCTTCTCGTAGGCATGCTGGATGGTGATGCCCACCTCCATGTCGTAGGCTGTCCACGAGCCGCTGTCGTTCTCCCACTCCCACACCACACCCTTGCCCGGTGCTGAGGAGGGGTCATAGTAACTCCGCCGCACTGGGCGGATGGTGCCTAGGGAGAGCAGGGAGAAACAGAGAGATGAGAAGAGTCTGTGGTAGCCAGGCTACATACATTGTCCATACCCCACTCCCCAAGAGCATCCCTGGGAAGGGACGGGGGTTACAAGCTGGGGGCCCACAGCCTCCATGGGATGGGATGGGGGTACGAGCTGGGGGATACAAGACGTAACCAGCCCAAAGCAAGATGTCAGAACCTTAGACCAGTGGTTCTCAACCAGGGGTATGTGTACCCCTGCGGGTACATCAACTTATCTAGATATCTGCCTAGTTTTACAACAAGCTACATAAAAAGCAATAGCGAAGTCAGTACTCTCTAAAATTTTATACAGACAATGACATATTTATACTGCTCTATATACTCTACACTGAAATGTAAGTACAATATTTATATTCCAATTGATTTTTTTTTAATAATTATGTTGTAAAAATGAGAAAGTCAGCAATTTCTCAGTATTAGTGTGCTCTGACACTTTTGTATTTTTATGTCTGATTTTGTAAGCAAGTAGTTTTTAAGTGAGGTGTAGCTTGGGGGTATGTAAGACCAATCAGACTCCTGAAAGGGGTACAGTAGTCTGGAAAGGTTGAGAGCCATTGCCTTGACTGTAATTGAAATCAATGGGAATTAAGCACTAAATACCTTTTAGGGGATCTGGACTTACGTTTTTAGGGGCAAAGAGTGTTTCTTGCACTTCAAACAAAGTCGCATGAGCTTAAGGGGAAGGGCTGATTTTATATCAGTTTATTTATCAGCACAATTGTGTGTGTGGACTCTCTTCCATCAGGCCTCATCTCCACTAGATTCATAGATTCCAAGACCAGAAGGGACCATTGCGATCATCTTGTCTGACCTCCTGTCTAATACAGCCAAGAGACCTGCTCCAAAACAATTCCCAGAGAACAGCTTTTAATAAAATCATCCCATCTTGATTTAAAAATGACCAGTGACGGAGTATCCACCGCGAGACTTGCTAAATTGTTCGAACGATTCATTAGCCTCCCTTTTACAAAGGAAAGCATTTGCAGGTATAGCGATCCTGGCAACCCCTCCTACTGGAGACACAGCTGATGCCAGCAAGAGTTCCTCCGCTGGTAGAGTTTATACCTGTTCTCTGAACAAAACAAGCAAAACCAGCAAAAGGACCTTTTTTGCCAGTGTAACTTTGTCTACACTGGAACTTTTACCAGCACAGTTATGTTGACAAGAAGTGTGATTCTCCCTCCCCCCTAGTAATCAACATAGCTATGCCAGCAAATATTTTAAGTGTAGACCAGGCCTTAATCAGCTGGTAGTAGTTTGTCCCTCATCAGTAGATTTACAAGCAGAAACTAAACAGATATAACCAGCACTAAGCTGGTACACAAGTCCACTCAAAAGTTGCACTCATTTGACTAAACCAATTTAAGTTAGACGAATGGAACTTGGGAGCAAAGACAAGCTGAGGGTCTGTGCAGCACCCACCACCATGAAGCCCAACTGGAGCTGGGGGCTTTATTGGCTACAAATAATGATTTTTTTTTAACTCTGTAAAAGACAGAAAATTTACAGTCATGGTTCCACAAACAGCCTTAACTCAGACCCCACCTCCCTACCCACCTCTCTTTGGAGTCTGCTGCTCATGTGGAGGTTACAGATACAAGGTGTATTGCAATCAACAGGGTAGAAAGGGTAGCCTGAGCTTTCTGTCCCCTTGGTTTTGATTTCCTCCCACACAATCACCTCCAAATGCTGTTTGCATCAATGACATTAGTTGAATTGGACCTGAATGCAGTTTGACACCGCCCATAGCACTCAGCCCCAGCCCAGCTATGCAAGTCGTAGAGGACTATATTCAGAGGTGGCTACATTTTGTAGCAGAGCCAAGCCACAGGTATCCAGGGCAGTATCATTTCTGGGCTGTAGGCGGAGGGGTAAGAGCAGAAATGTGTCTCTCTGTTGACAGGTGGCTGAATGGAAGGAGAGTCTGTGTGTGAGTTGCTGCTCCATGGAGAGGTGAGAATGGAGGAGTAGAAGCGTATCTACATTACGGTAGTTGATAGTATTCCCAGCATGAATCAGAACCCAAAATTCACGGGACTCCAGTACTGGGAGAGTCCCAGTGAGCTCTAGTTCTCTGTGTGTGGGCACCCCAGAATTGGGCTGAGCCCCTGCAACTCATTTCATCCCTGGCACAGTGCAATGGCACTCTGTGTATTTTTGGTAATTCAAGGTTTGTGGTGCATACCGAGAATGCGGATGAAGGGTAGGGGTAGAAGGGAGTGGGGCATGGGTAGAGGACAAGCATTGGTAAAAGTGCAGAGTCCAGTTAAATGAGGTTCCACAAACCAGGAGATTCCTGAATTTCAGATGTTTTGTTGTTAAAATTACTACAAAATTTCTCTTTCCATTTTAAGAACCAACCTCCATTTGTAGCCTTTACACAATTGTGCATTTGGGAATTTCCTTAGTTTTTAAAGGAAATGTTTTACGACACTGATGCAAAAAAATTGTCACAAGGCAATACACGTGGGACTACAGTCCCTGCAAAGCCGAACCATGTTAGGCGATGGAACCCAAGAAGACAACACTCGGATCCAGTACTCCACGGGTGCCGCATGGACCCTCTCTGACCCAGCGCTGCTCAGTTGGTGAATCTCACAAACTCTGACAGTGTTAAGTTTTAAAACCCTGCTGGGCTTATTCTGATCACATGCGATCTCAGAGAGAGACACTGCTGGGGCACACTAACTGCTCTGCTGTGGTTCCCCTCTTGTGCCCGGTCCTGCCACCACCCAGGGCAGCAGCACAATTTCCCCTGACTTCGACACTGCAGGATCAAACTTCTCAAGAAAAAACTAAACCTTTAGCTCTGTATGCGATACCTCATCCAGTCACTATTGCACTAAACAAACATGCAGCTGCTGGACCCAGCCCTCTGTGAGTAGGGCGTTCCCAAAAATAAAAAGCTTCTAGAGACTTTAAAACAAACAAACGCAGCAATGGAACCACACTAATCAATACTAATGACAGATTCCCATTAGAAATCCCATCGAGGATGGACAGCCCAGAGGTTAGAGTACCAGCCTGGGATTTAGGACACCCACGGTCAATTCGCTGCTCTGGCACAGATTTCTTGCAGGTTCTTGGGCAAGTCCCTTAGTTTCTTAGAGGTTCCCTTAGAGGATTGGGCCAAAAGAAATCTGGTTCAATGAGGTTCAACAAGGACAAGTGCAGAGACCTGCACTTAGGACGGAAGAATCCCATGCATCACTGCAGACTAGGGACCGAATGGCTCAGCAGCAGTTCTGCAGAAAAGGACCTAGGGGTTACAGTGGATGAGAAGCTGGATATGAGTCAACAGTTTGCCCTTGTTGCCAAGAAGGCCAATGGCATTTTGGGCTGTATAAGTAGGGGCATTGCCAGCAGATCGAGGGACGTGATCGTTCCCCTCTATTCGACATTGGTGAGGCCTCATCTGGAGAACTATGTCCAGTTTTGGGTCCCACACTACAAGAAGGATGTGGAAAAATTGGAAAGAGTCCAGCAGAGGACAACAAAAATGATTAGGGGTCTGGAACACATGAGTTATGAGGAGAGGCTGAGGGAACTGGGATTATTTAGTCTGCGGAAGAGAAGAATGAGGGGGGATTTGATAGCTGCTTTCAACTACCTGAAAGGGGGTTCCAAAGAGGATGGATCTAGACTGTTCTCAGTGGTAGCAGATGACAGAACAAGGAGTAATGGTCTCAAGTTGCAGTGGGGGTGGTTTAGGTTGGATATTAGGAAAACCTTTTTCACTAGGAGGGTGGTGAAACACTGGAATGCGTTACCTAGGGAGGTGGTGGAATCTCCTTCCTTAGAGGTTTTTAAGGTCAGGCTTGACAAAGCCCTGGCTGGGATGATTTAGTTGGGGATTGGTCCTGCTTTGAGCAGGGGGTTGAGCTAGATGACCTCCTGAGGTCCCTTCCAACCCTGATATTCTATGATTCTTTGGGCCTCAGATCTGCACCAGTTAAGCAGACACACACACGGATGTGTGTGGATAAATATCAGAGATTGTGAGGCACCCAGACACTGCAATGGTGGAAGCAGAATAGAACACACTGAATTTTGCAGCTCAGCATATGAACGAAGAATAAACTGGAGTTTAACTGTAATTACATACGGTGCTTCGTAACATGCACGTAAGCATGCTGTAAAGCACAAGGAAGTCTCAGAGCTGGTCTACACACCAGTTTGGTACCACTGTAATTATTCTGGTGAGATTCTACCTTCACATTTAAATCAGTACAACCCCTAGCATGCTTTATACTGGTATAGCTTCTGCCTCTTCCCAAATGGCAACAGCTATCACATCATAAGCACCAGTATATAGTTAAAGTGCTACAATTTTGGGGTACAACCCCTCACTTTGTCAGCTCCAACACTTCATTACATCTCCATGGGAGGTCACGCTTGGATTTTTAATTGTGCACATTAACATGGCAGGGGAAGGGAGTTCGAACGCTTCCCACGTGATTTTTCGAACTCCGAGCTTGACAGAATTCCTCAGCCAATTAGTCTTGAGTTTTCAGTAGAAAATATTTTAACTCTCCTCCATCGAGAAAGGCCAGAGAATGAGACGTGAGGGGGACAAAGGGGGAATTGCCAAGGGAGCTGTGTGTGGGGAGGGGTGGGGAGAGAAACCAAGCTCCGAACAGCATCTGTAATTTATTATAATCCCAGATGAGAAGGGGAAGGAGCCAGTGCTGGCATTCAGCATCTGGCAGGTCCAGCGCCATGCAGCAATCCTGTGGGAAAGTCCCCCCTCCCCTCCCATAGCCAGGGACATGCGGCCAGCCTCCCATTCAAGAAGGGAAGAAAAGAGACAATAGCTATTCAAGGCTCAGCTGGGGTCGTGACCCCCCACATCAGAACCCCTTAATGACCCAAAACAACAACATTCAGAGCAAGCCAGCCAGAGGCAGAACAATTCCCCATTCAGCCCAGCAGTAGGGCGGGGGGGGGGCACTCTAGCAGCCAACACCCCACCCCCCTCCCTCCCTCAGAGCCCCTGTTTCACTATTACTCCCTGCCTTCCTCTCAGATGGAACCTGGGGAAAGAGAGGGTTGCCACTGGGAGCCCCATGTATGTAGGGGTGCCTCTACTGGAAACCGACTCCGCATCCCACCAAAGTGGATGGGGGGGCTCTGCTGTCTGCAGATCTCAGGCCTGTACAAAAATGGAGAACCCCCCTCCCCTATCACCCCAGGGGAGATCTCAGAGCTGGGAGTGGGGTGGGCTTAACTCTCTGTGCCAGGAGCACCAGCCCGCCAAGGGGCAGTTCATCTGGAGGGCTGTGGCGCCCTCCCCAGCCACATGGGAAATGAAAAGGGATCCGAGGACGGGTGCAATCACCATTGGGCCACAGCCCCCAGCAACGGACACCTGTAGCTTCTGCCAGGCTTCACGCCAAGAGCAAAACCAACATCCCATTCAGAAAGGCTGCCCGCACCCTGGGTCACCGCCCCTCTCCCGGGCATCCACCTGGGGATCACCATCTCCCTCCCAATCCTCTGTGCTGGCTCACCATGTCACTTTCTGGGCAGACCGTGAGCAATGGATTGCCTGGCCCTTCCATCACTGGGAGTGGTGTGTGTGTGTGGAGGGGTTATTCTGGACAGTCTCTAGAGAAAAATCTGGCCCCAATGAACCTGGACAGACAACTTGCCTCTCTCTCCATGGTGACTAGCCCACTGAGTGGGGTGATTTTGGAGGGCCTGGACCGAGCAGACACAGGGCCAGCGGGAAGGATGAGGAGTGGGAGCTGAGCCACGCCCCATGGGGGAAAGGAACCCACAGCAGGAGCAGCGCCAGTCCATGATCCATCCCGCTTGGGAACATCCAGGACTAGGAGCATGGTGGTGCCCATCTTCCCCAGCATCATGTCCAGCCATGCACAGGCCACCACTGCACCCTTGTTTCTGGGCAGGGCCACTGATGTCTCCAGCTCAGCCCCCACAGCCAACTTATACCCTTGCATCTACGGGGCTGCACGGGGCACCAAGCCAAGAGTGCCAGAGAGGCTAGCCGAGGAGCCAACCATTGTGGCCCCACAGTAGCCCCAGCCAGCACTCTTCCCCATGCCAACAACCAGATTCTGCTCTGCCCTTTCGAGCGGCATAGCTTCAGCCAAGAGTCAGCACTTCCCCACTTTATAACAAAGCAGGGAGGGGCTGCCATAAAGCTGGGAGCCCCTGTGCTGTCAGGGGTCTCCCCATCCCAGCTGGCACTCCCCATGCTGCCATCTCTTCCCCCCACCCCTCCCAGTTCCACTCCCTTCCCCTCCCCCCCCCCGGTGCCAGGCTAGGCTCACACTGCTCCACACCCTGCATGTTGGGGGAGCTGCCCCACCTGCAACCTCTTCCCCCCTCCTCTCGGGATGCAGTGGGGATTCCCCAGCTCGGTGTGAGCTCACAGGCGCCCAGGGATTCCCAGGCAAGCCGCCTTTCCGGGGTATATTCCCGTTCTCGGAAACACCCACATCCTTCCCATTGCGAACCGGGGGCTGCCTCCCCGCAGGGAGCCCAGGTGCAGCTGGGCTGGAAACACCAGCCTCCAAGTCTCGAGGACTGAAAAAACCACGGGCACCAACCACAGGCACTGTCACGCTTCGGGACCCCCGCCCTGCCAGTGCCCCTCCAGCCCGACACCTCCCCCCCCAGCTCCCGCCACGGCTCTGCCAGTGCCCCTCAATCCGGACCAGGGCGCTACAGGGCAGAAAACAGAACGACCCGAGACAGGGACGGGACAATCCGGGTAGGGCTCCCCTTCCCCAGGGCGATCCGGGTCAGGCCAGGCCCGGCAGAGCAGGGCGATCCGGGTCACGCTGGGCGCCCCCCACTCACCGGTATCCTGGCGGAACTGGTGCATAGAGTGCAGATCCAGCAAGTAGGGCGCCAGCCGCCGGTCCGCCTGGCCCAGCACCACGCTGCCCGCCCGCGGCCCGGCCCGGATCACCGCCTCGATGTGGTGGCTGACGGCCGGGCTGTAGGGTCTCCAGCGGCCGTGCTCGTTCAGCCATTCCCAGACCACCACGGCCGAGCCCAGCAGCATGGCTCCGCCGGCCGGGTTCAGCGCCGCATCGGCCCGCGACCTCAACAAATCGGGGGGAGGGGGTCCTCCGGGCTGCTTGTTGAGGGGGGATGCAGCTCGCCCTCACTCCCCCCTCCCTGCAACGTGCCCCCCCGGAGCTCTCCTGCAGCGCCGAGACATAGCACTCATCCGCCAAGACCCAGCTACGGGGCGCTGCTCTGCAATGGGGCTCCCAGGAGGAGGATTAGCTCGCTCTGGGTTTCTTGGGGGCGGGGGTTTAGTTACACTAGTTGCAGCGCCTCCGCCTCCTGCTGCTGCTTCTTTCTGCAACAAGCCCTTCTCGAAATTTCATGCTCTAGTTTTTTTCTCCCCCCCCCTTTGCACGGGATGAGCAGCAGCTCCACCTCCCTGTTGCTCTCCTGCCTCCTTGTTTTAAAGGAATCTGGGTGGCCGGGCTTTCCCGGACGCAGGCAGGGAAATGCAAGCCGTCACCCAGCTCGACGTCCCCTTTCCAAAGCCGGGAAGCGACGCCCCATTGCACGGCCCGGTTGCTTCCTTCCCTCCTGCCTATTGTATCCTCCTCCCCAAACAACTTCCTTGGGTTTTGCAGCCGGGGAGTCTGAGCCGCAGCGCGAGCTCCCAGGAGCGTAGCGTCTCCAGGGCCCTCGCTGCCCCCTCCCTACTCTCACCACATTACCTCATGCCCGGCCCAGCGCCAGGACGCCACCTGCTGACCACGTAGCTGGAACTGCAGCTGTAGGGTTGGGTTGAACCATCTCACCCCAAAAGAGGGGGATTTCACCTGGGGGTTAAACCATTTATCAGCACTTTGGTGTAAAGAGAGATGGGGTGAGGGGATTCCCCCCAGAAAAGGAAGCTCCAGGCCCTGGGTGGGCCTGAGGGTGTCTGTGAGACTCCGCCACACACAGCTGGGCCAGTGCCCTCGATCCCAACCCACAGCCCCCTGCTATCCCAGGCCTACACCCCCAGCTCTGCTCCTGCCTGTCAGTCCCAACTTGCAGCCCCCTAACTATCCCAACCTTGTGTCCCTCAACCTGCACCACCCCACATGCTATGCCAGCCCAGTGCCCCCAGCTCTGCTGCTGCCCCTCAATCCCAATCCAAAGTTCCCTGCTATCTCAACCCTGCCCCCCAGAGCCTGCCGGTGCCCCTCAACCCCAACCTGCAGCCCCCCCACTATCCCAGCCCTGCCCCCAGAACCTCTCAGTCCCCACCTGCAGCCCCCACAATATCCCAGCCCTGCACCCCCTGCTCAGCTTGTGCCCCTTGATCCTGACTCACAACCCCCTGCTATCCCAGCCCAGGGCCTTCCCCACATGGCTCTGCAGTTGTATGCCTAACTCAATTGTAAAATCAGACCTGTGGCTTTTTTAGCCTGGCAGGATCCCTTTTAGAATCTCCCTTAAGGGAGCTCTCAGGGCTCGTTCGCTGCTTCCCAGCCAGCACTCCCCTTCCTAATCATCCTTAGAATTTGTCAACACAGTCTGCTTAGTGTTTGCAGATAGAATGCTGTGCGCAGCCAGAACTGATTTGAACAGCTGCAAACCCTGATTAATAGGCAACTCCTATCCAGGTGTCTGGGTCTTTATGACCCGAGCATGCCAGTGGTGCAAATCCTTTCAAAGGAACATGATCCCCACAGCCAGAGCCATTTGAACTGGTTTTTACTGAGAAGTGACCTGAGTATCAACCCTGTGTGTTGTTGAGTCATTCCGTTGGAGCTGGCTTCCTAGAAACTTGGGCGTAGGCCCAAGGGGAACAGTGACCATTGCTTAGTGACTGGAAGTTGGAACCTGGAAGGTTCAACTCACCAGCAACGATCACCCACTTCTCTCCCCATTGCCCTTCACACCTGGTAACAGCCACAAAGCCAGCATGTCTCACCTCACCACAGCATTGCAGTGACACCCTAGATCAGTGGTTCTCAAACTTTTGTACTGGTGACCCCTTTCACATAGCAAGCCTCTGAGTGTGACCCCCCTAATAAATTAAAAACACTTTTTAATATATTTAACACCATTATAAATGCTGGAGGCAAAGCAGGGTTTGGGGTGGAGGCTGACAGCTTGCAACCCCCCATGTAATAAACCGCATGACCCCCTGAGGGGTCCTGACCCCCAGTTTGAGAACCCCTGCCCTAGATAGCTGCGCTGCAGGGTTTGAACCCGTGAGTCGCCATGACTCTGGGCAGCTATAAAGCAGGGGCTTTGATTGCCTGAGCTAAAGGATGGGCTCCTGCAGCCCCGAGGCTGTAGAAGTCATAAATCTCTATAAGTGATGCCCCCACTAGAGGAAGACAGAGTGCCGCTAGCCTGGGTTATGCATACAGCTCACTGCCCCACTTGTCTGTGAATTGCAATAGCTTTTCCTGACTGGTTGCCAGCAGCACCTGCAGCCAGACTGCCCTGAAACCTTGATGCTACTTTCACACAGCGAGTGTTTCTCTCAGCTGTTTGCTTAGCTTTTGAGTTAAACAGGTAAAAATCACACTCCTCAGAGGAAGAAAAGGAGTACTTGTGGCACCTTAGAGACTAACAAATTTATTTGAGCATAAGCTTTCGTGAGCTACAGCTCACTTCATCGGATGCATTCAGTGGGGATCCTCAGAGGGGAATTGCCTTGGTCAAGAAGATGCCTCCCCAAGACGTAGGCAGTTCCCTGGGGATGCTAGGGTTATAGCATGGCAGGAAAATTGTCCCCTAACTGTCTCAGCCCTTTCCTAACTGCGACCCTGCTCACTCCTGGCTGCTATACCCCCCCCGCAACCGATTCCCCCTCCTCCTCTGCTCTCCATTTGGCTGAACAAGTCTCCAATCTCTTCCAACCAACAGGGCTGGCTGCCCAGAGAAAGATCTCCCGCAACCATGGGGAGGAGACCCATCCCCGGTTTCCTCTTCACCTGCCCAAGAGCCTCCCGCTCCCTACGCATGAGCGAGGTGCCCCCACCCGCAGCAGCACGGAGCCCAGGAACTCCCTAGCACGGTAGGTGCAGCTGGGAGAGCAGATGCCAGCTGGATGGGAGTAATCAGCAGCACTACATCTGCCACCCACAGGCCTGAGACCCCACGCCAGGAGCCCAGGGTCGGATAATTTCACAGTAGCGAAGGCGGCCCCAGCCCAGTCAGAATGTTCTGAGTCACCTGGCTGGGGCTGCTCTCATACCACTAGGAAATCCCCACAGATCCTAGCAGGGGCACCTGGTAAGTTTCTCGGATTCATTATCATTCACCTAACAAGGGAAATCATTATTGTGGAGCTAGTGATGAGCCCTGAAAAGCGGGTTGGAGCCAGCTGAGATCTCAGCTTCCCCCTTCCTCCGCGAACCAGCTAGATCATAGAATCACAGAAGATTAGGGTGGGAAGAGACCTCAGGAGGTCATCCAGTGCAACCCCCTGCTCAAAGCAGGACCGATCCCCAACTAAATCATCCCAGCCAGGGCTTTGTCAAGCCTGCCCTTAAAAACCTCTAAGGATGGAGATTCCACCACCTCCCTAGGGAACCCATTCCAGGGCTTCCCCACCCTCCTAGGCACCCCCAAAACACCTCGCTCCCTGGTGCCCCCAAACACCTCGCTATGTGCCATGCGTGAATGCCACAGCTGCAGCACTGAGGCCTAACATCCTTCCAGTGGGTTTAGTGTCTGGGTTCACCTCCCAGCTCCGCTCTGGACTCTTTCCAAGGCCTTGGGTGACTCAGGCAGCTGAATGCCTCTGCGGCCCTGGGCCTGTCATGTACACCTTGTGCACAGCAGGTTGCAGGGGTGCTCCTAGCAGGTCAGGCACCTGTACCAGATATGGACTGGCTGCAGAGCTTCCATCAGAGAAAGCGTTACCAGAGATGTGTTCCCTTTAAGGGCCATGAATACACTGCCAGGTATGGCTGGTGTATGCTCAGGGAAGGGATGTTACAGATGTTGCCGCCTAGTTTGGCATTCTAGCGTAGGGCCTTCTTAGGCCACGTCTACATGTCTACAGCTGTTACAGTGGCCTAGCTAGTACTGCAGCTGTGCCAGTGTAACCCTAGTCTAGATGTGTCCTACAGCAACAGAAGGGATTTTCCATCAGTAGAGTTAATCCACCTCTCCGAGGATTAGGGTTCCCAACCCTCCCTCTTTCGCCGGGAGTCTCCCACAATCACTCTCTATCTCCCGGAGGCTACCTCAGCCAAACCAGGAGATTTTGGGCGCTAACAGTCGGCATGGCAACGGAGCGAAAGCAGGCCCCTTTACCTTCTTTCACTCTGCCCCACACCTGGAAGCAGCCAGCACCATCCCTGCAGCCTGGAGGGGAACAGGGAGTCTCCGCGCACTGCCTCCACCCAGAGTGCCGACTCCGCAGCTCCCATTGGCCGGGAGCTGTCTCTGTCTCTCTGGGCCTCAGTTCCTTCCCCTGAGATGATTAAAGGATTGGAAAACATGCCATAGAGTGAGAGAGACAAGGGGCTCAATCTGTTGAATTTAACAAACAGAAGATTAAGAGATGACTTGATCCCAGCCTGTAAGTACCTACATGGGGAACAGACGTTTGATAATGGGCTCTTCAGTCTAGCAGACAAAGCTGTAACAAAATCCAATCGCTGGAAGTTGAAGCTAGACCAATTCAGACTGGAAATAAGGTGGACATTTTTAACAGCGAGGGTAATTAACCATTGGACCAATTTACCAAGCCAAGCCTTGTGGTGGATTCTCCATTACTGGCCATTTTTCAACCAAGACGGGATGTTTTTCTGGCTCAAACAGGGATTATTTGGGGGCAGGTCTCTGGCCTGAGTTAGAAGAAGGTCAAACTAGATGATCACACTGGTCCCTTCTGGCCCTAGAATCTATGGATCTCTGTGCCATGAAGCTATGACCTGGTCCTTCTTTGGAAAGTGCTTTGAGATCCAGCTATTAAAGGTGCCGTAGCTGTTCCATGTCGTATTGTTATTAGCTGAGATGAGATGATCCACTCCATGTAAACCAACAGTCCTACCCATGTCTCTTCACTGACCAAACAATCTACTGCTACATAGCTAAGGGTCATCTATGCCCCAATGCCTTGTGCATCCCACAATCATGCCAGTGCTATCTACCCCCTTGCTACAGAGAGGAAACTGAGGCACGGAGAGGTTTAAGGGCCAGATTGGGCACTTCTGAAAATCTGCTAGACACCTTTGCATCTTTAGGTGCCCACATACCTTTGCAGAGCTGGCCCCAAGTGACTTGCTCAAGGGCAAATGGGTAGTTTGTGCCAGAGCCAGGGAGTGGAACCCAGGGCCCAGGCTAGGGCCTTACCCATCGGGCAACCTTCTTCTGTGTGGGGGAGCTCAGAAGAGCCCTTTGTGGCCAGATTTGGTGTGAAGAGAACCCTTGCCCAACAGTTAGGAGAGGAGAGCCCATGCAATCCACACACAACTCATCTGCCTTGAGGAGTGGACGGGGGGCAGGCCTGCTGGGGTGAGCCTGGGGAGGGGAGCTGAGGGGGGATGGGACTTGGGACTCTGTGGATATGGGGAAAGTGGTGGATGTGATATATCTTGACTTTAGCAAAGCTTTTGATACAGTCTCCCACAGTATTCTTGCCAGCAAGTTAAAGAAGTATGGATTGGATGAATGGACTATAACGTGGATAGAAAGCTAGCTAGATTGTCAGGCTCAACAGGTAGTAATCAACTGCTCAATGTCTAGTTGGCAGCC